CACTACCTCTCTGTGATCACCTTGTCATTCAGGAGAATGTGGAAGACTCAACTGAGACATTTCCTCTCCAGTCTGCTGGTTTTACTCCACCAAAACCAGCATCCGCACTTCAGAGGGAATCTACATTTTCTATCTTTGTGGCCTTCATTTTGAGACGAAGCAGCACATCAACTGGCTCAACATCTAAACTCTTTATCTGTTGTTAACCTAAAAAAACATTTATATTTACTTTCTTTATTGGATGATTGTGTATTTGGTTGTATGCATGAATAGCCAGATGTCTATGTGTGCCTATAAAATAATATAACAATATTGTGGAGGTACAGCGGTCTCTTGGACAGTCGAACTTCTATGTTGTTCATAAAATGTAATTAACTGGCACACGATCCATAGAAAAATACATTTAACACAACTCTGAACAAGTATTTATGGCAGCAATGAAGGTATTTGGACAAATTCTAACTTTCAAATATGGTGGAACGTGTCCACGGGTCATGTGATGAATTATACACCTGTGCTCACTCTGCTGTGGACCCCTGCGTGAGATCAATCCGCTATTAATTATCTCGGAGTCACTTTGTCAGAAGCAACTTCAAAAAAATGGCAGGTGAAGTGAGCTCGGCATTACTTGTTTGCTCAAAGAAGGTCAGTGTATTCATGAGATTGGTGCGTGTGCTGCAAAAAGCAGCATAATGGTGAGCAGAATCAAGAGAAACAGCAGTGAGAATCGCTTCGAAGATCAAAGAGACTCTCCAGATACAACTCTGCTCACAAAACAATTGAAAGAGGATTAACGTGTGCGTGGAGAGTGATGCAGCAGAAAACCCTCGCTGGAAACATGAAGAACAAACAGTCTGGATTAAATTTTCATAAGAACATGCACACAAAAGAAGCAGATTTAATTTACATATTCACGTGGATGTGATGGTGGAAAGTTTGTGTGGAGAAAACCATGAAGAGATAAGAAGATTATAGTAAAGCACAGAGGTAAAAAGTTCAAGATCTGAGGCCGTTTTTTTTTTTTTTTTTAACATTTACCATGGTTTTAAACTTGTATTTATTAATGGATCAATAAAGAATCTTTCAGCAGGAAAATGATCAAAAGTATAGCAGCAGCCTGGTGAAAGAATATTTTGCTCAGGAGGAAAATCGGAGTCTTAGAGGGCCTTGATTTAATCTCATATGTGGGATACCATGAAATGAATGAACTGAAGGCTTTGCTGGTTAAAACACATAACAAACTTTCAGATGTTACAGAAGAACGGCTACTTGTTAGTGTCCAAACACTTTTTCAATAAATAAATGCCTTTTCCCACAGTTTTTTTTATTTTTTTTTTACAAGCATCTAAACAGTTCAGCCAGAGTTAATCAACTGGGAATATACTTTTGAATTGTCCCTATTTATTACCATGGCAACATCCTAGAAATATATGAGGAAATTACAGATCCATCAAATATAACCCAATTCTGTTTGCTGAGCGCCTCCTGAGCTCAGAGACCAGTTTACCTTTGAGCAGAGGAGGAATGAGGGTGTTGAATGTCCCATAGCTGCCTGTCAGACTTTAGCTCTGATCTCTGCTTGGGGGACGACTTCAGAGAAACCGGACACATCACAGAACAGCACAAACTCGGTCTGCAGCTGTAACACAAAGATCTAAAAGAAAGCAAACAAATTACTACAGAACGTAATTTCATTGTGAAGCAAACAGGCAGATAGATGCGAGAAGTGAATACATTACAGGTTTCATTACAGAGTCTGATGATTCGCAGCTCATGCCCAAGATAGAAAATCATTTGTGAAGGCCCACAAAGTGGCTGCAAACAGTGGAGCAAATCTGTGCAAGATCAGAATTGCACAAAGATTAGCAGCAGTGGAATAAATATGCAGAGCCTTCACTTCAGGAAAAAATACCTACATAGCAATGAATAAAAGTACATACAGTGGTCCTCAAATGTATTCATACCCTCCCATTAAATAAAGAAAAAAACATCTGTCACTGAAATAAGTTGAAATTGACAAAAAGACAAAAAAAAATTAATGAAAATCATTAGATTGCTTTCAAATTGTGCTTCAACAAAAATATTAAAAACAAAAACAAGATGCAAACAAGCATGATGGGACCTGTAAACTACTATTTTGTTAAACAACCCTTTGAGGCAATCAAGTGTTTTCTGTAACTCTCAAACCCTCAAAACGTTCACTGTTGTTGTCTCCTGAAGGGGCCGCTGCGTCTATGCGCGCTGCCATCACCATGGCAAATGATGATGATAAACTTCTACAAACTGGATGAACCAAACGGCATGAAAGGGCATAACATGATGGAACAGTAAAGAGCAATCGACCAGCAATGACTGTTTTTTGTTCCAGAGCTCCAGATTTTACTTCCACATTTATTTCCACATACCAAAAAATAAAACCAGCAGGACAAAGGAGTCACCAAGGTGCAGTGGATTGTGGCAGATTGCAGCAGCAGAGAAGAGCGAGAGCGTCAACCTGACCCCCTCCTTCTCACACACTGCACCGATCGCTCACCTGGCCGTTATACAGAGCCTCCTCCAACCCCAGTGACACTGTGACTTGCCGACACTTACATTTAAAACACACATATATATAATTTAACACCATTCACATTTAAAATACGCAATATAACTGACTACAGTCTGATACTGATTAAAGAAAACACTTGATAACTAAAGAAACACTAAACAAAGATCAAACTCAGCAAAAATGCCCCTATAACCCCTCCCCTCTCTGATTCCTCAGTTCAGCCTCATCAGGTAAGTGGTACCTGCTCGTTTCCTGCGGCCGCATCTTCATGTGTGCACTCCATGAAAACACGCCCATGAAGTGGATGTCAGAGAGAGAGCAGTTAACAAGGATCTTTTCACAGCAAAACAAAATAATAAATTTGTTCACTTTTGTTCCACAAACTGATTAAAGTTTACAAAAAACAAACAAACAAACAAACAAAAAAAACTGCCCGATGGAAAGACTCCATCCTCCAAAACTTCCAGTTCACTGAGGTCACACTCTTCTGCGGTAGAGGGATTACGCAACCAATTACAAGTCATTTATTCAAGTGCTGTACTCAAGTGCAGTTTTGAGGTTCGTTTCCATTTTCGGCTGCTTTCGCTCGTTCTTCACTTGATGATAAAAATGCATTCATGTTGTATAATCACTGGCAAAACAGAAAGTAGAATAGGAAGTCTTGCATTTTTTATTTTAAAATTTGACTATAAAATTAACGATAAACAAATCTAAATATGTAATTATGTTCACAAGACCATATTCTGTGAAGAACATGTTTATTTGTATTTTTGTTTACTCAAATGGTCCTTCCGTGCTGATTTTAAGTATTTAAGATGACCTTTTGTTGAAATTGTATTTTGCAAAAGGTAAAGGTTTTTGTTTGTTGGTTTGTTTTACATAATATTTAAAAACATAAAAATGTAAATTTACTAAAAAAAAAATACTGGACAATATTCATTTACTGTTCCATGTAAAACAATCCCAAAACTTTTCACAAGATTGCATGTAAATTAAATTTTCTTTACTTTTTCACAAGAAATGCTGTATTTTTCCATCCAAGTCATTTATTTGACTGATGAACATGTTACATTCTGCACACATTCTGCAAATAGGGCTGCAAGGTGGTGAGGTGGTTAACACTGTTGCCTCGCAGCAAGAAGGTCGCCAGTTTGCGTCCCGGTGAGGACACCCGGGATCTTTCTGCGTGGAGTTTGAATGTTCTCCCCGTGCAGCGTGGGTTCTCTCCCGGTTCCCCACAGTCCAAAAACATGTTGAGGTTAATTGGTGATTCTAAATTGTCCGTAGGTGTGAATATGAGTGTGCTTGGTTGTCTGTCTCTAAGTGTAGCCCTGTGATAGACTGGTGACATGTCCAGGGTGTCCCCTGCCTTCGCCCTGGGATAGACTCCAGCCCCCTGTGACCCTAGTGAGGATTAAGCGGCGTATAGATGATGGATGGATTTACCAAGAATCATACTAGACAAACAAACTCAAAATGATCAGTTTGAAGTATTTCGTGGTTACAGTGTTTCCTAATAAACATAATCTGGGAGTCAAAGGAACTGAATCCATATTGTCGGACATATATTTTAATGCACAACACAGGACATGAGCGCATCTGCTGGATGATGAGCTCCAACTTTTTTCATAAGAGCAGCTAAAGTTTATCTTAAAACAAGGCCAGAATTCCCTAACATCAGTTTTCAGTGTGTCGTATAGACTGATGGGAGAGACTCTCGGTGGAGAGGAGGCTTGTGGGACGCAGGTTAGTGCAGAAATAGGGCACAAGTTGATGTTTTGTAGAACTAGCTTCAAAGATTCGACATGTTAAAAGTAAGTTCTGCTGTAACTTTAAATGAACTTTAAATCAGACAAACAGAAGAAAGACAAATATTCCCTGAACCAGGCTCCTCGCAGCCGAATTAACACATTTAGGTGGATAAAGGTGTTGTTGTGACTCCTTTGATTGTCATCTTATATAGTCTGTTACCGCCATCATTTAGTACTGAGAGGAATACAGTTATTACACACTTATCTATTATCTGGAACTGTGGCTCCAAAATGTTTTCAGCCATCTAGCAAAAATAAAGAAAATGCTTCAAAATCTGTGAAATACATTATACTTTGGGTAAAATGAAACCAAACACATTTAACACATACTGTATTAAATGGGGTACATTCAGTGTTTATTGTGCCTTTCTTATGCTTTGCCATATTGGAAAAAAATAATCTTTTAAATTTTGGTGAGAAAGCACAGATGGGAATTGATATATCATGTGGGTCGCATTTTTAATGTATTCCAGTGTTCACTTTGAGATTCTCTGACCTACAGTCACATCGTAGCTGTAAGATGTCAGATGGAAACCGTAAAAGTTCAAACTACTGCATGTTTTTCACTTCTAATGACAGTATTGAATCTCTCTGTGTAAAATAAATGGTTTAGTATGTACAAAACCACTTGGGTCACAGAATGCACTAAACTGTCAACTTTAATCACATCTTGCTGGAAATCTGATCGTAACCATAAAATAATCAACATACTCTGCAATATACAGAAATCCATTTAATTTATCTACAGTACCTCTGCAGGATAACAGCACTGTTTTTGCATTGTTATACATTATTACGTTATATTACATGTCAACACTTATTCAAAGTCCTTCAACAGCTGTCCTTGATCTTTTTTGTTGGATGAAAGTCACAAAATGCAAATGTATTTGTTAGGATTTTACAATTCAGTGAAAAATAAACCAATTTTAGAAAAGTCATTAAAGTGGCGCAACATCAAACATACTTTCAAAAATATAAAGATCTTTTGCATTTCAAAGTTAACTGTTCCTAAATGTACTTATTGTTTTAGGTTTAGTTTTTATGGATGTTCAGCTGATTTTGTTTTCCAGAAGCCTTTAATTAAGCGTGTGATTCAACTGGTTTGTTACTGGAAACATCCTCTAAACAAGAGATGATTCTTGTTGAATTCAGATTCGTCCTCTATTCTCACGGTGCTACAAACCTTTTCTTCCCTCACTAACTTTTGACATTAAACATGTGGACGCAAACTTCAGAGAAACTGTGCAACTGTTAAAATATTAACAGACTTCAGCAGAGGGCTGCCTCCACAGTGAATTTCAATCATTCCTCAAAGGCAGACGGTGTGAGGTGATATACCAGACAGAGCTGGGTGTTGTATGTGTTCTCATGGTGGATTAAAGTTTGGCACAATTTTAAGAACTTTACATGTTTGTTAGTTTTTATAACAGATTGTTGCTGTGACTGCTTCATCTAAAGATACTCACACAAATTACTTCATGCAGAGCTCTGCTTTGTGCTTAATGCTAAATGTTGCAAATGACCTGTTTGACTTTGACGTGATTCCAGTTAGTGTTGTGACTGGTGTCAATTGATTAGGAAGTACTGGACGTCAGCCAAAGAGAGATCAAGGTTCTCCCATTAAAGCTGATAATACACAGATTTTAAGTTTTTTACTTAGATCAAGGACTACTTACATCCATGTGTGTCTGGATATAAGCGGTGATGACTTTAAACTGTACAAGTTTAACAAGAAAAACCCTTGTATGTGTTCACATTTGTCCAATAAAGCTGATAGAACAAAAACCTGTAGCCCTGACAGTAGACAATATTTCACAAATGGATGTTATGACAAAGAATCTACAAACACTGAAACAACACTCCTTGAACCAAGCAGCGCAGATCTATATGAACACAGTTTCAAGAACAAGGCACTCAAGTTAAGTGTCATCCATTCAGTATCCGGTCATATGTGGAACTAGGTCACAAGCTCTCCTTGTGTTCCTGAGCTATGGTGCTAAATAACAGGCAGTAAAGTGTTTTTGCAGAACATTAGGATGTCAAAGTGACATTGACCTTTGACCTTTTAAAATGTCATCACTTCACAATTGTATCTTATTTGACATCCGTGTGAAATTTGCTCATTATTAGCACGTAAGTCCTTAAGTTATTGTATTATCAAAATATAATCCGTTCATCTTTGAGTTCAAGTGAACATTTGCTCTAAATTTAGAGAAATTTCCTTGAGGCACTCCAGAAATATGACATTCATGAGAACGGAAAAGACAGACAACCAGAAAACTGAAAAAAAAAAAGAAAGCCTCGGGCCACAGATGTTGCCAATGCAAGGCCATAAAAACTCCATGAGAACCGGTCTTACTGTCTCCCACTCACTGAAATACAAAAGTAAGGCCATGACTTCAGATGATTTTATCAAAATGTGCTGAAAGTATAGTTAAGGCTGAGAATAAAGAGCAGACCAAGTCTTCAACTGGCCACTGTAAAAATGTTAACATCTTTATTTAGGCAACGTGGCCTTTCCTCTTCTCCACCCTCTACCCACATGCTCCCCACTAAAAGAAAATAGAAAAGTTTTGAAATGTCCATTGACTTTGCTTCCCTTACTGGACATCGCAGCCTCTTGAGACTGCTGCTGTGAATAAATCATTTCAGTACAGGTTCATAATAATGCCATTATTAGACAAACATGTTTTCATTCTTACTTTCAAATTGTATATGATAATGAGAAGCTTCAGAGCAACAGTATGACGGGAATATCAAGTCACTGTCAAACACACAGGAGACGACATGTCAAATACAGGCTGAACTGAGCTGGTAGTGAATTACACATCTTTACTAGATCTGAAGGCAAAACGTTTAATCTGGGGTTAAAAGAAAGGCGGCTTTGTGTGGTACGAGGCCTAGACTGCTTATGATGCAACTGTCATTCAATCAACACTACAAGTCTCTATTACATTAGATCACAATTAGTAGTATACAGCAGTTGGCTGATGCCAAAACATCTGTCTGACTGAATCTTCAGTCCAAAGTGACAGTAACCAGTCAAGTATAAATATAGGAACTCTTAACCTTTAATAACAAAAATGTTGTTGTTATGGCTGATGGTTGTGTGTGTTTGCTATAACTTAGAAGTCTGCACATGACCGGAGGGTGAGAGAACTCTGGTCCGCAGGAAATCTGACACAAGCGGAGCGACGACTTCAGGTTTATTCAGGTGGATGTGATGATCTCCTGGAACTGTCACCACCGTGTGCTGAAAGACACACAGATGAACAAAAGAGTGTGATTAAAGTAATATTTCAACCTGCAATGACTGAGTGTATGGCCACTAGGTGGCAGAAGAAACAAGGTGACAACAAAAATGACATAATCACTTCATAATCACCTCCTATTACCTTCAAATTTACTGACATATTTTATCCTTGGGTTCAATTTGACCCCAGCAATTTAAAGCTCCAGAAAATATCACAATTAAAATTGTTACCCCAGTTTATGTGTAAATAGCCCTTTAAATTAAACTGAAAAAATGATGTCAATGACTTATCTAGAGATGTTAAACATTGAATGGGGTCAAACTGACCCCAAAGATAGTAGGACGGATAAAGTCCTGAGGGCTGAACTACAGAGCAAAGTTAGTGGGCCAGTGAGGTATGTTGAGCTTAATCAGATTTTCAACATCATGAAGGTGGCTCTCTTTTAACCTGCTAGATTGCCATGGTAACCTATGCTGCAACGCTAACCTTGTCCAGAGGAGGTTATGTTCATCCATCCGTCCATCCATTATCTATACACCGCTTAATCCTCATTGGGGTCGCGGGGGGGCTGGAGCCTATCCCAGCCGACTTAGGGCGAAGGCAGGGGACACCCTGGACAGGTCGGCAGTCTATCGCAGGGCTACACTTAGAGACAGACAACCAAGCACACTCACATTCACACCTACGGACAATTTAGAATCACCAATTAACCTCAACATGTTTTTGGACTGTGTGGGAGGAAGTCGGAGAACCCGGAGAGAACCCACGCTGCACGGGGAGAACATGCAAACTCCACGCAGAAAGATCCCGGTGCCCCCACCGGGACGCGAACCGGCAACCTTCTTGCTGCGAGGCAACAGTGCTAACCAACTGCGCCACCCTGCAGCCCCAGGTTATGTTCAGAGTTTTAGATTTAAGTGGGTTGTAAGAAGCATCTCCCTTTTAGCAGTTAGTTCCTGGATGATATTCTCCACAAGCGACAGAAATTCTCAGCTGAGAGAATGTGTTTTATCTGTAAACCTGTTGAGCTGGAAGTTACTAATCGTACTGTACGAAGCCGTCCATCCATCCATCCATTATCTATACGCCGCTTAATCCTCACTAGGGTTGCGGGGGGGCTGGAGCCTATCCCAGCCGACTTAGGGCGAAGGCAGGGGACACCCTGGACAGGTCGCCAGTCCATCGCAGGGCCACACTTAGAGACAGACAACCAAGCACACTCACATTCACACCTGTACGAAGCCGTGCAGTTTCAAAAGTTCAAATTGTATGCATTGTGCAGCTAAGGGAACCCACATGTATTCGTTTACTGATGCAGAAAATGCATAAATGTGTTATTATGTTTGGTCCTGATTTGCTGCCTGATTTATGCTGTTGGTATAAACTGATTAGTCTACTGGTATTTATCACGAACGTATTCAATCTATAATATAAATTTCACTTTCATTTGGTTAAAAACTGAAGTGATTTCCAAGTATCTTCATTATGAGGCATGTCAGGCCTAAATACGCTTCCTGAGCATCATGTTTAAATGTATGAAGTTTAAAGTTTAAGAGCTCTAATGTGCAGCTCTTTTGTTAAAGATAAGCAGCTGCACTGAGAGCACAGAGTGGTAAACTAATGTATTAACTTACACGATTAACAATTTTCAACCAGCATTGCTCTCTTGCATCATTTGCAGCCTCAGCTTTTGTTTTTTTTAACCATAGCACATTTCTATATTCGTCATAGCTCTCCATTTTAACAACCTGTTCCTCTTGACTAAAGTAGGTGGCATATTATCGGTTCATTTTGTGCGAAAGAAGAGTCAGATGATGCATTTAATGCCACCTTTTATGTGAATGCACGCAGAGTGAATTTGAAGAAGAAAACCAGAGTTAACAAACAAAGCTGATAACCACTGTGGTGATACTGAGGTTTTAGGTTTCGCCAAGTTGGCTTACACAAAGAAAGCCTGGCTATGTTAAACTTGCTTAATCATACACCTCCCCTGCTCTGAAGTTCACTGGAGTTCGTTTTTTTCTTCTTCTTCTTATATTCTTGTATACAGTGGGTTTACAGACACAGAAAGGAGGTCTGGGAAGTTACGTCGAACCAAAACATCGGCAGGGTGTGACAATATATACTGCTGAAGAAAATTTACCCGTAGTCCTCACACAAAGTTTGCTTTAGTGGGGTGTTGACAGGTATTTTGATTTTGGCCCACTGCTCATCAGCAAAGTGCTCTAATTTGTCCGGGACAGTTTTGTTACTTTTTTAAAACTGTCCTTTGAACCATAATTCAAAAGCAATGTCACTAAGCAATTTCACTAAATTATAATTTAGCAAATTTTTATTTATTATTTCTTTTTTCAGTTTCTAGTTATTTGAGTGACGATTGTGAATTTTGCCTTTTCTTTAATGGAAGGGTATGAATACATTTGAGGACGACTGTAAATACATAAGTAAACAGTGGGTAGTTAGTATATAGTTGCTAATCAATGACAGGAGGTAAGAGAACAAAAGCTGATTGAATCAAGTGGTCTGATAGACAACAAATGGTAAGAGAATGAGGGGTCTGGCAGACAGTTACAAAAGGTAAAGGAATTATCAATAACAGTAATGGGGTAGGGGGGTGTCCGTCGTAAAACGTGCTATTTTCTTCATCAATAAAGATGGTCAAAAGGTAAGGAGGGGACAGTCTTTAAAGACAGTAGAGATCAGTTGGTTGTGTTTATGTAGGTACTAAACATTAACAAAGGGTAGGATGATGTACGGGTTGGGCAGACAACCTTAAAGTATTAGTGGTAGGAGACTGTCTCCTGACATTACTTAATTAGTTAACTATACAGAAACCACTTGTCGATTCAACCCTAGATGACTGGCAACACTTTAAAAAAGAGTGCCTCTTTTTCATCAATACTGTGATCAAATGTGTATTCTTCCTCACACACCACCTTTGAAGTTAACGTGTAAACACAATGTCTTATTTAGGAATCCAACAGATTTGGCAGCATCTCCTTTCATTTAGAGTGATTTTTGCAAACCTGATAAATTCAAGGCATATATTTACCCTCCTGCTGCTCTGCTTTAATCTCTACCAACAGCTTTGGGAAAAAACTGAGTCTTTAGCAGCTAAATGCTCCGCAGTGTTCGCCAGCAACTCTCTGTCCTCTGCTAGGTGCTAAGCAGGTAGTACACAGTGGGTTTTCTTTCTTTTTTTTTTTTTGGCTGAAAACTACCTCCTGCAGGCAAATCCAACACTATGGGAGCAGTGTGAGAGAATAAGAGCAGTAAAGTTGCAGGATGAACAGATAATAAGTTGAAACTTGCGAAAAAGCTGCAGATTCAGCTTAATTAATAAATCAATTAATTCATAATTCTCTGTAGCTTCATCACTATGAAAAACTTTTACAGAGTCACATCCATCGCATACATTATTGTTAATATAGAAATATTAAAGTATTTTGACATGGCAAGCTTCTCTTTGGTTGCACAGTGAGAAACGTACATCTTTCCATTACCAGTTGATTGCTCATTGGAGATGTTTAGCTGATGCTCATCCTCCACTCTCTCTTTTGAGCAAGTTCCAGTATGTAGGTCAGTGTTGAGGTTTACAGCTATAAAGATCTTTGCTGCCTCTGAGACATTGTTCTCTGTACTACACTGCTACTGTTGCAACTGTGCAGCTGTCTTCCCGTCTTTCTGTCTGTCTGCTTGGCACAATTACACACACGCTTAACGGCTAAAAATAAACCCAAAGATGCATGCGTACCTGCTTCACACAAACAGACTATAAAAGTACGCTTACATTTAGGTCCCTATAGGCCTGCAGAAGTGCTGACATCAATTTCTTTTGCTCCGGTTCGGATAATATTTTCTCAAAGCCGCTTTCTGCCCTGTAAAGACAAAGAAAAGATTGCATATATATATATATATATATATTCTGGTACGCTTCAGAATTATGCATGTAATAAGTAAACATGGGGCAAAAGCATATCTTACAAAATAACTAGAACAGAGGCCTTTATCCTCGACTGGAACTCCAGAGTCTGCTCCATAGTAACACGAACTACATTTTTCTGAAAACATAAAACAAATCATACTCTGCATGTATTTCCTGACATCATGGGGACAAATAGTGCAGTTCAGAAGTAGCCTACCAGATTAATACGGAAGTCTCGGGAGAACACCACCCCTGCAAGAGAAAAATATACTTCCAGCATAAGAGGAACTATTTAGAAAGTGAATCATTTTTTCTCTTAAGAGATGCAGCTAATACCAAACATAAAAGCAGAGGAAGATAAATGCGTACCTCCTTCAACTTCAACTACACCTCTTTCTAGAAGGATTTTTGCAGACTGTTCAGACAGACTCTGGTTTACAGCCAACAGCCTGAAGGTAGTACAAACAAAGTTAGTGGGTGTGTGGATGTTTAGCAGTCTTTTAGAACTGCAGAAAGTGGAGAGTGCAATACCTCTCCAATGCCTTCTCATAAGTATAAACTCTTCCCTTCTTCTCCTCCATCTCTTTTTCATACTGAAGCATCTCGTCGAAGCCCTGTCTTATCGCTTTGGGGATTTCTTTCTGCAAGAAAACAAACATAAATTAAAAGGAGAGCACGTAAACATTACTGACAGCAGTTGACTGTAGAGCGCAGCTCTTTGTGAAATATTATGAAGGCATAATGCAGTGATATAATGTGAATCGTTAAGAGGACAAAGCTGCGCCAGAGTCAATTACATATTGGTCACTAAAAGCATTTCTTCAATGTGATGCCTTTCAAAATGTCAACCAGCTACTGATTTTTTTCATTCTCTCACATTCTGGAGTTCTTTAGACGCTGCCATAAAGTCATAAAGACTTTTAGTGTAAATCAAACTGAAATTAGCTGGAGGTCACCAGACAGGTTGTTCTCTGCAAGAACTGCTGCAAGAACACTGGAAAGAAAACAATAAATTTGAAATGTTTGCACTCAACTTTGCACATAAAGCTCTGGGTGTTTAATGAGACATTTCCTTAAAAATAAAAAAAAAAATAAAAAAAAGCCATTTGAGGCAGATTAGAAAGAAGCCATCACATTAACCTTCATGAGAAAACAATTCACTGTCTGCCTCTGAAACGCTCAGTCCGCCAGGTCATTCCTTCCCTTTGTTTGTTTTCGAAAGAAGAAACACCACTTTTAATCAGAGTGCAGCATGTTGACAGGTTGTGCCGGTAATTCACTGCTAAATGTGAAATAAGGAGCTCATTCTTGTGCTAATGATGACTTCTACAAAAGCAAACTGGGGGAAAATTACAATAATGGTGGGCCAGATGTAACAATAAATTCCCAACACGTGGGAGGCTTCATGAAATTGTCTCGCAGGCTCACAGATTGAGACCCCTGGTGTAGATAAATATGAAAATATTTTCTCCATCATTAGCATCACAGAGAAAAGCACAGCAGCATCAAGTATATTTCTTCACTGTTAACTAAACAACAAATTAGAGCCCTGCATAAAAACTGTGAAGAGAAGGTGGGAAGGAAAGCTTGTTCTTACAAGAATTGCTTATACCTTTGCAGAGGTGGGAAGTACAAGTACTCCGTTACTGTACTTAAGTAGATTTTGCAGGTATCTGTACTTTACTTGAGTATGTTTCTGACAACTTTTTACTTTTACTCCCTACATTTGAACACAAATATCTGTACTTTCTACTCCTTACATTCTCAAAACTGTCTCGTTACTTGTTTCAGCCTCCGTGGATGACAACATGACGTCATCCGCGTAGGCCTGCCAGAGGCTGTTTAGCACTGCAGGACTGATGTTCAGACCCAAAAGGGCCCGTCTTCAGAGAACTTTGAGAAGCAGCTTCTGCAGAGGGTCAATAAAAGATGTTGGTAGTCTTGAAGAGACGAGTGTTTCCATGTTGATTCTAATGTTTAATGTTGATAATATTGCTGAAATAGAAAACCATCCAGTAATGTTTTTCTCTGCAGCAGCACTGTGCAGGTTCTTCAAGGATGAAAACAATTCTATTTTGTGTGTTCAAATTTTTTTTTTTCCATTTTGCAGATATCAAAAGAGGCGTTGCTGTGCTATTTTAATTCAGTTCAAGCTTTTACAAAGATTATATTCTAACTAAATCAGGCTCAGCAAGCTGGTTCCAAACACAGGTTGGCTCTTTCTCCTGCATATCACACTTGTATATTTAATACTTCCTCAAAGGATTTTAATTCTCTTGCATGATTCTATCTGAAACTTTTAATATTATCAGGAATCCCAGTGTCTTAATTGCCATTTTTGGTGTCACAAAGGATTCAGCTCATCTCACTACAAGGAGGAAAATATGTTGCAGTCAAGTCGCAGTTTACATCCCTCTTTCCTTCTGTTCCTGAGTTATGGTGTTTAAAAAAAAAAAAAAAAAAAAAGGGCGAGAAAAGTTTTTTGCACAACTTCATGATGTCACATTGAACTTGGCCTTTGACTTTTTTTTTGGATGTAAAGCATCATCACTTCATAATTTTATCCCATATGACAAAGTGACCTTTGATTATAAAAATCTAATCAGTTCACCCTTGAGTCTAAGTGAGCATTTGCGCCTAATTTGACAAAACCCCCTCAAGGCATTCAAGAGACACTGTGTTCATCAGACTGGAAATAAATAATAAAAATGAAATATAATTCAGAGGGTCCACTGCTAACTTTTATAATAGATCACACGCTGTTAAATCTAAGTTATTAATCTCCTTGAATTTAATCTAATTTATAGTTAGTTAGCAGGCCTTCTTTATGAGAATAAAAGTTTTGTTTGGGTGGAGTACTGGGTGAAAAGCAAGCATTGAGAACTGTTTTGTTACAGCATCATTAATTATCACCTTCATGCTATCAGTTTTTCTTTTTCTTTTTAATGTTATTAATTTTATCCTATTTAATTTTTTTGATTTTACTATTCCTTTTTTTTATTTAGTTATTTTTTTTATTGTTCTCATCCAACAGTGTTGCAGGCTGCAGGGTTTAACGTTTGGCAGGTGACTCAGAATATGTGGATTTGGCAGCTGTATCACTGAATTATGTTTTCAATAAAAATGCAAGTGGAGAAAATAGAATTACCACATCTGTGGGTAAAAATCCATAGGAGTCCAGCAGTATGAGGGCATCCACCATGTCAGGATACAGAGCGCTGAACTATGGGAAAACACCATATGGAAGATGATGGCACACAATCTACTACAATGGTCCTAATTATGTATTAATCATGGTATAATAAGTTGCTTACCATGCCAGCAAGGTTACCACCTGAAATTAAAAGAAAAAAAAAAAGAAGGCGGACACATAATTAAAACATCCCACAGATATTTTAAAGCTCTAATTCTTTCATATACTCACCCATGCTGTGGCCTATGATGGAGAATCTGCTCCACTGCAGAGCTGTGGGAGTAATTTCACACATCATCAACTGGGTTTCAGTATCTCATCACAGAACACTGAGACCATTTTTAGTTCAAAGGAAACATCACTGCTGTGATTCAGCTGTCAATAAGACACACTACAGCTTCGGCAATATGGTTTAAATAAAACATATTAATTAAAGAGTTTTTTCCGACATTAATAAATATATATGCTGTTAAACTTTCAGCAGAATCTAATGGGCTTCCTCACAGCATGGAGTTTAATTGGCTCAGATGTCATCATTATTTTTGTTTCCTAATTTATTTAAAAAAAAAAAAAAAAAAAAGCATGAAAGCTCTGGATAGGGCCAGTAAGCGGACCTTGAGTTAAGTTTCCTGCTGAGCCCCCAAAAGGTCATAGAGGGAACATTTTTTCTCACAGCTTTTGCATTCATACATTTTGCATTCCCTCTGAAGCGCAGAGAAGGTCGAGTACTATGATATTGGATTATACATTATGCAGCAGACCACCGCTGGTTACGACAACAGTGTGAACGGGTGCACCTTCAGCTGTCGCCAAAGTCTGAATCACTGTAGCTAGATGGATACCTAGTAGAGCTGGTTAACTTCTCTGTCAGCTGAGGCTGAATAAAAGAGACTGTAGCTGTGATTGTGAGTGCAGAATGACAGAACGTTAACTGCTTTGGTTGTTATGATTCTGGCTGTTGTACATAACTTTATAAATGGTGCAACACGAACTACATGCTGAATATATGAGGAAGGTGACAAATGATTTGAATACTGTAAATACAGAAAAAGGACAATCTTAGATGATCACAGGCTTTCTTGTTGGCTGCCACTGTGACTGTTTCACCTGCAGATTTTTAGATGAGGCTTTGTTATGTTGCTGACTACATCTGCAGTCTTTGCTTAAAACCAAGCAGCCCAGTCTGAATGTAGAAAGAAATCTCCCTGGACCACCTTTAGGTGGAAGCTTGACAGTTTTAGGAAACTAAAAAAAAAAAAAAAAAAAAACTAATGGTGGGTGACCAAAGTAATAACGGAAACTCTACAGTAATTATTCTTGACAAAATTAATGAATTGATTAACCTTTGTGCAGTACACGTTTTTGTTGGCTGAGTGTTGCATTAAAGCTGCTGTATTTCTAACTGCTGTGGTGTGTTGGCAAAACATCTGTCACATCTGAAGCCCCAAAGGCTCAGATCCTGCTTGGCTTAACAATGCAGTCTTAGTTCATGTGAATAAGAGCAGTACAGAGTAGTTATAGTAAAGCCACCATATATGCAGCTTACATAGGGCCATAGACAGACCAGCACAGAAGTTGCAGCTGTGTTGGCTGCAGAGGCTTTATACTAACACAGCTCTGCCTTTTGAGCAGTAATGAACAATAAATGCATCATGTTAAGCACCACAGCATCTTCCCCAGAGTTTCTCTCGGCTTATTAGACCAACAAAATAGCTTATCCTGTGATCAGTAACCATGAAATTTGCTCAAGATTATTAATTTTTTACAACAGAAATTTAAAGGACACGATTTGTTTGTACATTCAAGATAAATTTGCCATTGAAAGCTGACAACAAGTGCAATTGAATTACTATTCACACACCACATTCCTTCTAGCCTGCTGCCTGAACAAACACTGATGTTTGATTTGAATTAGTGGCTAAACATGTTCTGCATCTTCTTGAGCACACACACCGTCAATGACTCTGCGTACATCCATCAAGTATGAAGGAAAGGTGGACAAAACTCCAGGAGGGCGATGTGATGAGCGGCCTTGACCTGGCAAGTCCACCGCCACGTATCGGCACTCTAATCGGAAGAAGAGAGAAAGAGAAGGATTGTGTCTCGCCAAGTGATTCAACATTTCTCTAACCAAACAATCATGTATATTAAATTTTTTTTTTTAAATATTGTAAGGCAAATTTCAGTACTCCACCCCAAAAAGACGAAAAAACAATCACCCAGCTACAATTATAAAATCTCAGTTTAGGGCACCAGTAGTAAAATCATTATCAAAGAACACAAGTGTGACCCAGAAAAGGTTCAAACCCCAGTCCTGTAGGATGGGACACAGCTGTTCTAGCAGCTGAGCTGCAGCACCTGCAACCACAAGCTGCACTGCACAGTCACCCACTTTCAAAGAGCCAAAGTCAAATTAAGCAAACAACATGCAGATGACTGAGCCGGATAGTCTTATGAAAGTAGACAGTTATGGAAAATGAAGACCTTGTTCAGACAATGTTTGCCAAAAAAATGTAACTTAGGGCTCCAAATTTCTGTCTGCACTGCAAGTGGAAGCAGCAGAAGCTGAATATGTTGATATACGAGTTGAATGAGAAACTGTGTTGTTGGAAAAAAAAGGAAAGTGAAGAAAGAGTAGGCTTTAAGCTTCAATGAGTGCAAATAAGAGTTTCCCAGCGTTTTCCCCAAACTACAATAGCTCTGAGAGAAAGGAGGCTTTGAGCAAAATCTGAAGTGTAATGAAAATGTGAAGATTTACAAGTGGGATGCTGTGAGCAGCGTTACATTTTAAATGAGATCTTCAGCTTACAAACACAACAATCACCTTTAGGTAGAAGAGGAAGGAGGGTGTTGAATGAACCACAGTTGTCTGCCCAGCCGTGCAGGCACAGCACAGGACAACCATGATCAGGACCCCAGACTTTCCCTTTGATCTCTCCCCATGGCACTGGTACAGAGAGCTCTGAAACTGGACACAACACACTTATTTAGTTTTTGTAAAATCATGCCATCTACCTGCTATTAGATGCAGTCCAATCAACTGGTGGCAGAATCAGTTCCTGTGCTGAATGTAACTGGCAACCAGAGGAGGTTTGTAAATAAAGCTTTCTGGGAAAAAATGTGTCTGCTTTAGGAATAAATTTAGCATACTGATTAAACAATTAGCTGTGTAAATGATTAGCTAACAGTAAAAATTGATCATCAACAATTCTGATAACTGATTTAACTGGTTTAAGGAAAATTGCAGCTTTTCAAACTAAAGGATTTGCTGTTTTTTAAATGTGATTATAAGTTTAGTATTTTGAGATGTGGAACTCAAACTAAACAATCTGGCACCTTCCCTTCATGTTCTGGGGGAACTGTGATGGGCATTACATGCTGCCAAACGTCTCAAATAAGAAAATCTAATTTTAGACCCAGGCTCTGAAACAGGCTTGTGTTATACATTAAACCCTCTCCTACCACTGGCAATGTCAAATCAAAATTATACTCACAATTTTTCAACTGCTTTTTGATTTTCCTGAAGCTGCTCTAGTCATGTTTACTCTTACTTTCTTTATTTCGTCCTGTTGTTTTGTATTCATCAGTTGCCTGATTATTGTAGATTTTTGCTGTCTTTTTTTTTGGCAATTTATATATCCACCAGTTGTTTTTGTTGTTGTTGTTGTTTGTATTTTTTTTTATTTAGCCATAAGCTTAACCTGAACTATCTGTTTCATATGGCTGCCTTCATATGTGTGGATCCTTGTTATTTCCTCCATATAGTCATATAGACTACTGCTTGAATAAATTTGGTATCTTCGCTCTCTTTCCTGTTAAAGTAAAGTTCTTCCTCCCTACTTTGAGAAATACACTCATAGGGAATCTTTGGATTTGTTGGGTTTTCCATCTTAACCATACAATTCAATTTAGTCAGGTAAATTTGTGTTTTATATATCTATGTAGGGTTTAAACCATAACATTTATTATACTCAGGTAACTTTATGTTATAAATCACACTGTAGGGTCTTAACCTCAACATTTAACCTTCTTAGGTAACCTCTATCTAATTCCTTTTATGGAAAGCACTTTGGCTGAATGGCTGTTGTTTTACATGTGCAATATAAAGAGCAGTGACTAGACCTGACTCAACTCATATATTACTGCTGCAGTCGACAGTTATTTTCATTAATAAATATTCTGTCAATTACTTGAAAGAATTCATCTAATGTGACTGCTCTGACACAAATGCCCAACAAAAATAATACATGTTTATTTAAGTTTTTTTGCCTTTTAAAGTTAGATGAATACTATGAATTGATGCTTTCTCATTATCTAAATATGAAATTCACTTCATCATATAATCTGCATGAAAAAAGTCCTTTGACAACATTTAAATGTCTGACTCTCTCCCACGAGCCAGGCTGTGTTCACTTGTATGTCCTGGGGGATTGTTCTGATAATAAATAGCATTTTAACTGGACACCACCACTTAAAGTATGCAGCTCATACGCAAGTTCAGATACTGGTTACTGTTTAACGTGGCCTCAGGTTATTCTTGTCATTTTGCGGTCACGCTGACAACTATTGCTTTTCCTACATTTAAATTAACAAACTGTGTTTAAAACTTCTCTAAAGTATGTCTACAACATGGAATCCTCACTGTCTGTTCTAACTGAATGATGAATCACATTTTTCACGTGTTTTGGTTGTTAAACAACCTTCATCAAGTTTTAGAAGAAGAAAAAACAACGTTCCGTGACACAAATATATTCTAATGGCTATTACAATTGACGAACAATATCTCTACGTCAACTTTCATGTAAACACGATTGATTACGCTTACAAACCAAGTATTAGACCGATCCCACCACAGACTGCTGTTACCTGCTTGCTTCATTTTGCCGGATGTTAGGTGTCTGACGCCTTTCAAAGCTTGCATCATCTCGGACTACAACTCGAGAATAACCTAAAAATGTAAACAAAAAAAATGTAAATGTTTCGACGTCAAAAAACAAACTTGTAACCAACTTTAAGCTAATTTAGTTTTTCAGCATTTTACCAGCGACTGCTGCCGTTTCCGGGTGTTGAAACCCACGTGATGTGAGGTTGAAGATGTTATTAGCTACATGGACATGTCGACTGCAGTCTGGACCAATCACAGCTCAGAGGAGGAGGGGCTTACCTTTCACCCAATGTGATGTGAAACGTTAACCAACAGAGGGCCTGGTGGCTGTTTAGGTCTGTTTAGGGACTAAACAGAAACTCTAATACGTGTTTTCACTCACGCATGCACGCTCGCGCACACACTCACATATAAGTTGTTATCCAAAGTCTGCTGCACCTCTTCGATTTACACACACACACCTTACCTGAGGGCCCTGGTGCTGGAGAAATTTCTAGCTCTGGGGCAGTGTCTGGACTTTGAGGAGTAGGGCTAGTCATCATCCTGGCTCTTTCCCTCAGCTTTCTCTTTCTATCTCGCCACATCTTTCTCTGTGCCCTTTTCTCTCTTTCATTGTGGTCTGACACCTTCTTTTTTCTTCATGTAATTTGTTCATCTAGCTTTCTCACATTCACCCTGTTACTGTGTGTCACAGTGAAAAACAGTAACGGGGGGACGGTAACAGGAGAGAGATTTTATGCTAACATCATCCATTCCCACGCATGTGATGAAAAACAAGCTAGTACTTGGTGAAAACTATGGAGGATTTTTTACATAGTTTTAAAATTACCAAAAATGATTGGTTTCCACCCTAAATAAGTGTAACAGTGTAGACATGTCATGCTCTACCACATCAGCCAAGCATTCTAAAACACTGGAAAAGAGGTTTATAGAAGAGTAATACTTACTTTAAGTGCATGTGTTTGATTTTCCCTCTGAAAGTGTTCGCTATTTCCTGTGTCATGTGACTAGATAATCAGGGGGTGTGCGCAGGGAACTTCACATCAAAGTACATCGAGGGGACAGTCGACTCAGGGGCATGACATATTTTTAAAAAATGTAGACACAAAATATGTAATAGTAACAAAAAATAATATTTGGCAAGGATTATTTTAAATGAGGCTATACAATAGTAATGAAAAAGGAATTTGTTAGTTTTCTATCACTTATAATTGTACCTTAAGATGAGCAAACATGAGTGGGGACATGGAATTTTGTGTGCTTGTGCTAAAATAAAGATAAATATTTAAAATTTTATCGATTCTGTGTTCATATCATTGTATTCTATGGTAGAGGGTGCTTGACCATGTAAGAAAAGCTTTTAGAAATGAGCATTAGCCCATTTTTACACAAAATATGTCATACTATGTCATGGTGACTCAAAGGGCACCGAAGAGTATGTTGGAAATGATAACGGGCAGATAAAGAGCAAGGTCATCCACCAGAAATCACAAGTCAGTAATGAGTCTCACATCTGCAACACAAATAATTAATGAGGTTGTAAATGCAGTTTGTGTAATGTTATCTGGGTGAAGTTTGGTGGTGGACATTCATGTGCCTGGATATGACCCTACCTGACATGCCAGCATCCAACAGGCCAGCAGCCCGTTCTCGTTTTTCTTTTTTCATCTGTGGCATCATGTCATTTAAATAAATCTGTACTTGAAGGAGGCCTTTTATAGTCAGGCACTGGTCAGGGGGTGTGTCTGTGTACTGGTCATTCTATCTGACCATTGTACTTTAAACCCACACCTGACTAGAGCGTAGGTTAACTTAGTAGGTCAACAGTTAAGAATCAGTTTAACAGCTCCAAAACTTTTTCTGCACAATTTTTGGGGCCTCTAAATTGAATCCTTTCCCAAATAGAACCAAAGAGACTACAATTTTAACTTTTTCCGTCAGAAAACAAGACTATATTTTGTTCAGTGTAGTTTCAGGTTGATTTTTTTCTCTTAAGTCTTTTTGAACATTGCTTTTCTACTGTCCCGCTTTCTCAAGTCCACATGTGCACAGATTTGAGTTGATAAAATGTGCTTATCTGAGTCATTTTCTATAAATACAATGAGGCCATAGTTTAATAGCAATAAGTGGTTTGCACTTTTTGTTTTATGTCCTGTACATAGCTTGCATGCATATTGAAGCTGTCCTTATGCCCACACTTGTGGTCTTGACCACTTATGTGCATGCTCATGCGGCGCCAGATAGGCGGCAAGTATGTTGCATGTTGGAAAAATACCAACACACAAGACACTGTACTTGATCTGCACTTGCTGCACTCTTTCCCTAATACTACTTTGAATTCAGGGCCAAGTCTATCTCACATCTCACCACAGTCTATTAGTCCTCAGCAGTCCACTTGTGGGCAGTAGTGTGTTTGTAGTCACAGTTTTTGAAACGTTAGCTGCACTATGAAGTTTGAATTTCCACATGCACCAATTTATTCCTCCTAAAGAGAATGATAACATTAATAATGCATATCTGACATATAATCTATATTAATTATATTCTTTTATCAAAGAATTTGAAAAATATGCTCCATAAATTAAAAAAAATGTCCTATGTGTCTCATGATTTCAGTATATTTGTTCCAATAAATCATTTGACCTGGACTGTGCCGTGTGTGAGGAAATATTTGGAGTTTGCAGGAGTCCCAAGATGTCCTCAGTATTTTCCAGTAAACTCTGATAAACATCAACACATCTTGCAGCCTTAAGGAGCACTGTGGTGATTACTGGAAATGTGCCACACAAGTGTGGGTGCTGGGACGAAATTAAAAATAATTGTAAGTGAGGCTTCAATGCTGAGATTTATGACATTTTAAAGTTTCTGTAAAAAATTAACAAATGGTATTTAGAACTTGACTAACACTCGTCTGGTTCTTTGGTTGGCAATAGTGCAGCTGTTTAAACTGGACAAATAACACTTTCAATCAATCTTATCAGTACCTGAAGCTGATAAGCCAGCGTAGTTTCAGTCATTTTTCAGCTGAGCACCAGTCTGATTAGCAAGAATAAATTAAAACGCTTTCGGGCTTCACAGACAAAGAAATAATTCTGTACATATGTAAATCAATGTTAAACTGAAGGATGTTTAAGTTAAGAGAAACATGCTGAACTGCGCAACTTCATGTTAATATAAACAGAGCAGCAAAAGGACGTTTATAACTCATGCATCCATGAACCTAAAGGAAGAGGACTTTGAAGTCACCAATGGCTGCTCAAAAAGGCCTTACAGTGACTTAAGAACAAAACAGCTATACAAAGCAGGATTTTGACAAAGTATTCCTGATCGAAGGAGTTGTGACGTGTCCTGAGTGATAAGGGTTTTACATCATTCTGACTTATTTTATGTACATGGTTGATGATCCACAAAGAATTTTATACAAAACACCTCAGCTGGTTTATGCTTACACATTTAAGCTGCTGGTGATTTGTATAACCTTGACTTCCTGCATCTGTATTTGTGTGCCAGTGTGCATTTTACACAGTTATAAGTGCATCCCTCTTGTTTAAATGAAATCCTTGATTCTATTAAAACATCTGTATGAGTTCTGTGTTTACATACTGTCATTTGTTGTGCTGCTGCTGTTATCATTTGATTCGTCTCAACCGTGTTGTTGTAGGTTGCTTGTTTTGCATAAATGTACTCAAAACTGCTTGCAGTATTTGCACCAACTGAGAAAAAGTAATTTGCATTCTGCTGGTTTGAAATAACATAAGATAAGATCATTCTTTATTGATAATAAGAATAATAAAATGGCAAACTCAGAAATGATGAGTGTTTAATAGATTCCTAACTCGGTGTGCAAATACTCAATGTAGACACACAGCATTGAATCTATTATCAGTAAAACTACAGACCTAAGACAGTAACAGGAGCAATTTCTAGTTATTATAAAGTACCTCTGTAAAAGTTTAGCTATCAAATGGAAAAAAATAAAACATGGTGAAAAATATAACTGGCATGTGGTGCAAGTCTCTGCATACTGTTTGCTAAAGTGTCCATAAGCAAGACAATAAAATCTTTTTATACTAAAGCATCCTTAACTTTAAATGAAACAGTCTGAACTACTGCAAATGACAGAGGCTCAGCAAGGACAGGTGCTTTCATTCTTATTTCTTCATGTTCAGACTGTTTCTTGTGTGTATTCTAGTTGCAGGGACAATATTCAGGAGAATAATGGCCACACTAACGGTAAAAAGCCAAGTATCCAGTGCTTTCTTTCTCCGGTCCACTTGGGACTGAAATTAAAACTGCTCTGCTCTGAATGACTGACCTAGTTGAGGTGGACAAAATAATAGTATCTCTCATGTGTCACACAGAAACAATTCAACTGCTGCACAAACCATGTCATCCAAAAGTAAAGCTGGCTCAACAGTTCTCTAAACAGACTGAAAAAACAACTGAACCTTACAGCTACACAAAAGTAGGATTTATTTCAGAATTAGACCGTACCACCAGTTGCAGCAATACTGAACAAACTGGCAACTGTGTATATTCTATCAGGTTTTTAGTACAACCATGACAGTAACATCACTTGAAAACACTTCTTAGCTAATCTAAAAACACCGTAAATCCCTGATTCTACTGGCTTAACGCTTAAAATATATTCTCCTGTCATAGAAATACACTATATTGCATTTATAATAAAAGTGGTGCATTCTGTCACATGGCAGAAGACTGAAATGCAGCCACCAAACTGCTCTGTTTGGGTGAATAACTAATGATAAATATGATTATGAAAGATGCGTGTAGTTTGTTTTTAGCAGAACACTGACTGCCTCTAAACACACACATCTAGCAGCATTTCTCTTTGTTTGTGTATGTTTTTCTGGTAAATGCGATCTTCCTCTTCACTCAGCCAGAGGAAACCCAAAATAAAAAGATGCCCCAAGTGACACATAATCACATCAGAGACGATGTTTGCGTGCAATCCGAAGTTTCCAGATTAAGCTTAGAGGTGTTGTGAACATTTTAAGAGACGTGCAGTGAGAGAGGTAGCCGGATGGGAGGGCTGGAATAATTTGGTGGCAGGACAGAGGAGCAAGGAGTATAAAAGGTCAGTGTGAGGGGGGGGAAGTAAGGCCATGAAGAACTTGGTATAATCACACAGGATATTTTACTACATTGCAGGTAGGTGATGTCTTTTGAATAGTTTTAATTGAATCTTTTAGAAAATATGCAGATTTAAAGTATACAGGCAGAAAATAACACAGATTCGGTTTTATAAAATAGACAAAAAAAAAAAACCTAAATAATGGCCTGATTAAAGCAAAGTTTGCTTTTAAAATCAGTATAAAGCAATACAAAAACAATCAGAAATATTCCCCTCTTGTTTATTTCTTATTACATGTTCACAATGCAGAGAAAATGCCCCGGTGAATAATGTTTATGACATAAAATTATAAGAAATAAAGCATTTTAAAGTGCCAAGGTTACAGGATTAAAACACTGTCTGCTTTTGCAAAATTACTATTAGCAGAGCAAAAGAAATCAACAACAAATAACTGTCCTTGAGGAAAAAATATTAAGAAGAAATTTATTTCATTTATTTTCTTTTAACAGCGCTGTGACAGTTTGAAACGCATTAAAATCAACAGTGCATCTGATTTCACTTCACATTAATTATGCAGAGCTGCACTGAGGTTACATTACAGAGTCACTAAGGGCAGCTGAGGTAATGTATTCGCTTCTGTCTAGTAATGAGTTGCCCTTGAATGAAGCAGTTCTTGGCCTCTGTCCATCAAATCAAACAGGAGAAACTCGATGCCGAAACAACAGGATCACAGTGTTTGTGTAACTCTCACTAACTTCCCATAATCAGGAGGCTTTGTTTTGATTCTTCCTTTCCCTTTGAAAGGACAGAATCTGATTTTATTCCTCAGACAAGTGTTTTTTATAATGCTTTTATTCAGCCCTTTCTCATCAGACAGCATCTTCCCACATCATGGCTGATTTCGACTTGGTTTTGAAGCACTGGGGTCCAGTGGAAGCTGACTACGATGCCCATGGGGGCCTGGTTCTGACCCGGTCAGTGAGTCTGGCAAGATAAGATGTTCTCTTGTGTATGTCAGCAGGGTCACAGAGCTGCAGCCAGGAATTTAGGAAGCATCTATCCATTATCTATACACCGCTCTATCCTCACTAGGGTCACGGGGGGACTGGAGTCTATCCCAGTCGACTCAGAGTGAAGGCAGGGGACACCCTGGACAGGTCACCAGTCTATCACAGGACTACACTTAGAGACAGACAACCAAGGACACTCACATTCACACCTACGGACAATTTAGAATAACTTAGAAAACACAGCCCTCAAAATTAACATCAGATTTATTTGATTATTTGCATTTTTTGTTTTACTTATGCACATCACTGTTTAGACACACAGTCAGTGATGCACATGACATCCTCTAATCTATCCATTCTGCCAGAATGTCTATTTTTAGCCTATACTGTGTTTTTTTACATTACCATGGAGATGTGATTTAAATTTTAGGTTTTAGTATTGAGGCTATAGCTCGTGGTGGTGTTGCACTGGGCTGCATTATGCTCAGACGTATTTACAATATTCTTTCCAACTTTATGCGCATAAATAAGAAGGACAAAAAAAATCTTAAATTCAGTTAAGATAATTGAATTTAAATTAAATTTATACTTTTCTGACAATGTCATATACAACATGGCATCATTTATGAAGGAAAAAATAATGGCCGGTGTACCTGATGAAGTGACGAGTGATGAGTTTAATTTCCAACATGAACATCTGATTGCTGTTTTAAAGCTTTTCATGATGAAAAGTAAAACACATTATTCTTTGTTAATGTAACATAAATTGTCACATCTACCTTGTCCTAAGCTGCTAAAATGTCCAACTTGCCACAAAAAATAAAAAGTAAAAATTACACCAGCTTTCAGTAGTAGTTATCACCCTGGTGGAACTCACATTTCCTTTTCTTCCCAGTTTATTTACGGAGCACCCAGATACCCAGACGCTTTTCCCTAAGTTTAGCGGCATCGCTCAGGGAGACCTGGCCGGTAACGCAGCTGTCTCTGCTCACGGTGCCACTGTGCTGAAGAAACTTGGCGAACTGCTGAAGGCCAAAGGCAACCACGCTGCCATCCTCCAGCCTCTGGCCAACACCCATGCAACCAAGCACAAGATTCCTATTAATAACTTCAAGGTGAGGCCATTCTCTTTCATTTTTCCTTTTACAACTCTTTCATCTGGCTACCTTCAAACTGCTGTGTGACCTTCGCCTGTAGTAAAGATTGTGTGCATAATTTTGTCTCTGTTTCCTCCTCAGCTGATTACTGAGGTTATCATTAAAGTCATGACGGAGAAGGCAGGACTGGACGCTGCAGGGCAGCAGGCCATGAGGAACGTGATGACCACTGTCATCGCTGACATTGAGGCCAAGTACAAAGAGCTCGGCTTCACTGGCTGAAGAGGTCAGGCCGGTCATGCAGGGGCAGGATGACAGACAGGAAACGTTTTCCCTTATAAGTGCTTTTTTTGAAAATTAAAAACCTTAGTATAGACTAATCTGATTTTGATGAATATTAACATAGAGTTGGAGATCATAAAGAACACAACTTCACAAATGAACTCTAATTGCACATATGCTGCATTAGATTGTGTTTTTTCTAATCTAAATAAACAGCTCAACTGTTTTTACTTCAGTTTAAAGAAAATCTTGATCTGAATTCTAGACAGAACTTTTAACAAGCTGTAAATCATTGTCTCATATTACCAATAAAATTCTCTGTTGCTCTCCCTTGTTCATTATTTTTTGTCACATCTTTATGTTTAAATTACAATAATCACAGACACACTTTATGAGTCTATAAGCCTATTACTCACCTCCTGTGTCCTCTAAGTGACTGGAGCTATAAATCATTTACACTAATAATGCTTTATTATTTATAGAGCTTGATAGGATGTCTTTGATGAGATACTGTATGTGGTCTGGAAACCAATTCAGAAGACTGTTACAACCATCAGACGTGTCTCTCACTCAGTACTCACTCTTTCTTTCTTTGTCACCTGATCTATGTGGACGTGTCTCTTACACTATTAGGGGCCTTATCACTCCTTCAGCTTTCTGTCAGCTACCAACCCTATATTTTTCAAAAAAAAATATGCTCCTCCTTGCTTCTTATTCCTTTTAAATCTCACTCATGTTGCTGCTGCTTGGGTCAGGTAGTCTCAATTCTCTCTCTCTTTTTGGTGATTTAACAATCAACAAGTACAGTCAGTATGAGATTCTTAGTTGTGAGCAGGTCATTTTTAATTTTAGTTTTTCCTTCACACATTGTTCATTTTACTCAATCTTAGAACCCCAAACAGATGAAAGGATTCAGTTTTTCACAAGGACATAGCAAATGTTTAAATTGTCCAAATTACACAACAAACACTTCAAATGTCTCACAACACCACAGATTCAACTGAGTTTCTGAAACAGCTGCAGAGGTGAGAGGTTTGCCTGATAATCACGTTAAACTATGCAAGAAGAGGTGAGATGCTACAAAATTTCTTAACACAGCAAAAAAAAAAATAAAAAAAGCTGGAGGCTATGCTGTCTGATTGTTTTATCTGGAACTCATTTGTTTGATGATTATTTAAAGAGAGAAAAGGTGCAAATCCACATATTTGAGAGATTTTAACCAAACAGTGTTGGACATTTTTTATTCCTTACATAACCGTCAGTCAGTCTTTGGGGTCATCTCTTGACTATTCGTTATGTTAAATTTCTACAGAGTTAAAGCTAATAAAGAAAATAATAAATTCTATAAATGGAATATACACATGTATTCACCCTCAGGATTAACTGAAAACTTTAATAGGGCCAAAATTTCCTTCAGTGTAATTCTTTTTTATGACGAAATACTTGCAAAATAATTTCTTGTGTATGTTTTTAGTGCTAATTAGCAAATGATAGCATGCTGACGTGGTAAACTTGGTTGCTGAACATGGCAACCTGCTGGCCTTCTCTGTGTGAGAGTTATGAGCATGTTGCTAACAGCTGCTAACTCAGAGTGTCATTTCTTGATAACTGACTTGTGCCTGTTTATTTTGTACAAACTGGCTAATTAATTGATTTATTAGTTGTTTAGATGTAACTTGTGTGATGATACTTGGACTGAGAATTAGTCCAATACTTGATTAGAGGAGCAATTAAAATCAAATAGCACATCAAAAATCTGTCACAAATTCATGTAAACCTGGAAATAAAGAAAGTTTGAGAATATAGAAAAACATTTAAAGATGAATTTAAGAGGAAATATTTAAGATTCTGCACTATTTCTATGTTGTGGCATTGACTATGTTTACTTCTTTGCACAAAAGGTCAGATTTCCTTTCACTGATGCAGCATTCAGATCACAATTAGGTGTTTTTTATTCACACATCAGAGAATTGTTAAAGTAAGTTAGCTTGTAGTCATTGTTCACCTGTTATACAGATGCCTGTGCCTCAAGTTTCCAGCAGAACATTGTTGATTAATAGTGTTGTGTTAGTGGGAAACATGGTGTCAGAAGGTAAACTGTTATTCTCACCAGAGAGGGGTCTTTTCAGGGTCAAACCAAGATCAGACTGAAGGTTTCTAAGGGGGCAATCTGTGGCACTGTGAAACACTTTTTGGAAACTGGATCAGTCGTATCCACAACACAATTCGGGAGAGCAAACATGGCTGCACCATCAGAGGAGCACACATCAAGCTTTGTTCGCTGACAGACAGAAAAAGCAACTTCATCACAGGTGCAGAATTTACTAATTAAAGAATGGAAGACTCCAATCAGCAAAAGTGCTGTCGAAGAGAAGGCTGATTAGAAGTGGTCTCAGTGGACGAGCAGAGCCTCTAAACTGTTCCTCAGGAGGGTAAACAAGTCCAGACGCTTGGAGTGGGCTGACAAAAAGCAGCATTACACAGTGGATGACTGTAAAAAAGTTGTATTTACTGATTAATCCAAGTTTGTAGCAGTAGGGTTCATGTAAGGAGATGAACAGGAGAGAGAATGATGCCACAATGTATGAAACCCACAGTAAAACACGGAGGAAGCTTTCAATTCTAGAGGGTTTTTTTTGCTTCTATGGAGCTTGCATTTAATCAGTTCCACCCTCACCAAGGAGAAGCAGCACTCCATTCACATGCAACACATTCTGGTTTGTTTCTGCACGATGCAGAATCATTCTGCAGCAGGATAATAAGACCAAACAAACCTTAAAACCTTTTGAGAACTGCTTTAGGACTAAGGAGTGCTGACTCTCATGGATTTTCTGCACCGTCACCTGACCTCAATTCCTATTGGCGTCAATGAGGACACATAAAGACTGAGATAACCAGCCATTTCCTGACATCACAGGAAGCTCTTTGGAGCTTTCTCAGATCATATTGAGATAACGTGGTTTTATCAGGATTTACACAAACTTGTGCGGTCCATGCAGCTCGAGCACTGCGGTTATTGAAACAAAACAGGGGGGATAATCTTTGGTTGATATCATTTGTAATAAAGAATGTTGCAGTAAAGTAGATGTAGCTTCACTAGTTCACTATAAAATACACAGATAATTTACTATAATACATTGTGAGTGGAAGTTCGGTGGCTATTCTTGAAAAAGCTAAACAGAAAGGTGCAGAATTGTCCAGGACTGTTGGAGCAGTGCCATATTTTCAGGTGGTTGTGAAGGGCTTATTGCTCCGTAAGTACACACTGCATAAAGATGTGCATAAATCACAACAAAAAAAATCAGTCAGTGGCACTCAACGCTGATTTTTGGCTTTGCATGCTTTCTAAACAGTAAAACACCTCAATCACATTTCTGCACACTCCAGCCACAGCTTTTGTCTCAACAAGGGGAAAGAAGGAATCACTTCTTTTGTTATAATCAAGTGCTTCTGTTCTTGAGGACGTAATTGAGTTTCAGTGTTATCTCTGACATTCTCAGCCCCATTGACTCCCTGTTGTCCTTCCAGCTCCTGACTTGATGCCAAAACAGTGTTTGGTTAAACTGATGCCATGATAACCTATTATTAGTGTTTGTGTGTGTGTGTGTGTGTGTGTGTGTGTGTGTGTGTGTGTGTGTGTGTGTGTTAGTGCATGCCTGCAGACGTGACACCGAGCACAGAGCTGCAGTCTGACCAGCTGATGACAGAGGTCAAACGCTCACTGCTACTCAACGGAACAGCTTACTCAGGTTGTTCTGTCTGTTTGCCAGAGCAGGGCCGGCTCATGTGAAAGAAATAATTATTCTACTATTAATATCATTGACACTATTGTTCTGAAGATTATCATCATCCTGTGTCTTTACAGGAACTGTAACATGCAGCAAAGATCCTCCAAGAGATTCTGACAATATCCGACATTTTGCACTCCAATGTCAAAAACGTGGCAAGAAATTCCACCAAATTATTTGTTCAAAAAAAACAATTTAAATAAATAAATAAATCACTAATTATGTTGAATTTTCCATCACAGCTTGCAGAATTAATGTCATCTTCTTAACAATTTTTAAAAGTTATTATTTTCATGCTTTGTCACATTTAGGCCAATTAATCTAACACATAAAATATAAAAACAACTTCAGGACTATTGAGTTCATTAACATGCTTTTCTTGATTTAAAATGTCACCACAACCAAGACAAAGGGTCACACATGTTTTATTCATTACAGATGTCTGCTACTTCCTTGTGTTGATGCTAAGCTTTGCCAATAAAGAATCCCACAGATTCACTATGCACAGTATTTGCATAGAAAATAAACCGTATTATATTGTTATTTTACACACTATGCAATATGAAAATCATGTCACTGTAGATGTTTAGCATATGTTGCTATATTACCAGCGCAGATATCCACCTGCAGAGATAGGTATGTTTATGGTATCCCAGCAGGGAATAATTTAAAGTTCCTGCACTCTTATTAATATGTTTTAATTTCGGCAGATCTGACAGCAACTCCAGCTGAAGGTGGGCAGAGCTACACAGGAAGGTACATGAATCACCACTGAGTCAGAGAGACTTCAAGCAAACCATAGACACCGACACGGTCCAGAGCAGACGTCTGATCAGCTGAAACAAGCAATATCACTTCTGTGGGAGTACTGTGAGTGTTTAGTGAATTATATGTAAAAACAGACTTATATTGTAGCTATAAGGGCAGTCCAATAGATGACTGTCAAATGTTATGGTCACGCAGGAATTATGACTGTCAGCAGCTGAACAGAGAGTTAAGTTATTGTTATCATTAGCCGCAGGTTGACCTTTTAACTTGACAGGAAAGGCCAAGGTCCAACTAATGTTAATAACAGCTGCATATCGTTTAGGTGAGTTCACTCCCGGGGCCTCATGTATCATCAGTGTGTACGAACATTCCTACGCAAACTATGGAATTTATCAACTTGTACTTACACTCAGGAATGTGCGTAAATATACGCACAACTCTGACCATGCGTACGCACATAATCTAGCGGCAGAATAGTGAAACTACAAATAGAAAGCATTCGAGGATTTTGACCACCGGCACATTCTAGTGTGAGGTTGGAGACATATACGGCATTTCCAGTCACCACTGAGCAAGATCATGCCAGCAGTGTTGGATGCCATAACTCCAATGGCCCCAGTCTACATTCAGTTCTCTTACAGCAATTACCAATGAGCCCAAATCAAACGGGGACTTAATACCATCTCTGGATTCCCAAACATAAGTGGAGCCCTAGACTGCACCCACATCGCATTCAAAGCAGCATCACTAAATAAACTTAATTTTGTAAATAGAAAAGGGTTTCATTCAATCAACGTACAGATAATTTGCAATATACATTTGTCGCTATCCAACATTGTTGTCTGGTGGCCTGGAGGAACGCACGACTCATTAATTGAGCAGAACAATTCTGTGGGTCTCCAAGCAGGAGCTGCTGAAGACGGCTGGCTTATTGGTGAGTGTCACAGAGTGTGATAATGTTTTTTGCTGGACTTTGTTTGGTTATTAAAGCATGTCATCTGTAGGTGATCAGGGTTATCAACTGGATGAAAGTTCAGTATTGATTCGTCCTCCTCCAGTTGCAGTCATTTCTCTTTGATGCGTTTTTTGGTGTGGAGTTATGGCACACTGCCAGCTTGATCCTGCTCATTGATAGCTGGGAAACGCCGCATATGTCTCCAACCTCACGCTGGAATGTGCCGGTGGTCAAAATCCCCAAATGCTTTCTCTTTGTAGTTTCACTCTTCTACCTCTAGATTATGTGCGTACGCATGGTCAGAGTTGTGCATATATTTACGCACATTCCTAAGTACAAGTTGATAAATTCCATAGTTTGCGTAGGAATGTTCGTACGCACGCTCTACAAACATATCTGTGAGTACACACTGATGATAAATGAGGCCCCAGGACTCTAGTGTTGTTCATGCTGGCTCACACACATAGCTTATATGGACACATAGTTTAAAATGTAATAATTAGATTTAATTTATATTTTGGACATTCACCTATGTGTCAAGTCAAAATATCTGCTGCAATAAAGTCTCAGCGAAGCCTGTCACATGTCAAGATGGATTTTGTGAAGGTTTTGCGACAAGTCTGCTGGTGCAGGAGTATTATTTATGTGCTTCAGTTCCAGTATACCAAAAAAAAAAATATTTGAAGAACGATAAAACAAAAAGTGCAGGAAACTCCTTGGCCCAATCTCATGGCCTACTGCCCACTCTGGCCACAGCATTTGCCTCAATAAGTGCAAAGATGTAATAATGTGTCTTGGTCTGGTCAAATGTTTCTGTTCATGAGGACGTGACTGCGTGACAGAGCCATTAGGGTCAAAGATATCAGTGTTATCTCTGACATTCTCAGTCCCACTGACTCCCTGTTGTCCTTCCAGCTCCTGACTTCATGCCAAAAGAGTATTTGGTTAAACTGTGTGATAGATAATTGCTATAATGATAGACTCACTATTAATAGTTTGTTGTTGTGCACAAATGCAGACATGACACCAGGCACTGTGTCTCTGGTCACACTTTGGGGGACATACCTCTGCCTTGGGTGTCACTGAGGTCAAAAGCTCCATTTAAAGTCCATTTAGTGACAAATAGGCTAAATTTTGCTTTTAAAAGATAGTCTTCTAAAAACAAGTGATGGTTTTCTACACTTTTGTATTACAAACCTTTAGTTTCACTAGCTTGGCTCTCACTGGTATTAGAGATGAGTAGGACTGGGCCATATGACTGAATTAATTATTCTATTATTAGTAATATCACTGTTGTTTTCAGATTTTTTTTTTTATTATTTGGCAGAAAATGTGAGGAGTATAACCCCTGACCAAAGGTGTCATTCATTTCCTTGTGTTGATGCCAAGTTTTACCAGTAAACGCATCTGAGACAGTTCAAATATCTGTGAACCATGAAAACACAGTCCACGCAGTATATGCATAGAAAAGACACTATAGTTTATTATAATTATATACACTTTCCAATATGTATATAGGGAAAAAGCACAGCAGGAGCAAATACAACAGACTACTTCTACAAATAAATATAAACAAAAAAGTCAGGGAAGACGTCCCTTCAGAGAAATCCGTCACCTAATCAAAGCTTGGCTGGTCAATGTCTGGGGGCAGAGTGCATCTGGTCAGGTTCGACAGGTAGAGAGCAGTAGTGGTGGGAACAAGACTGGCCGCCACCTTCAGGACGGTCAGCAGCCTCTCTGTAGCGCTGGTCACACCATCTGGTGTCTGCAGGGGAGAAGCGTTACACAGTGAGGCGTTTAAAGAAACAGAAAGACACACTCAAGTGACATTTGGTGTTTTACTGTCAACAACAGCCCAGAGATATTTGGCTACACAAACAATGATCTACATAATACATATGCACAAGCAGCTTCCTTTGGCTTTCTGCAGGGTTCATCGAGTTCAATGCAAGACTTCATATTTTTTACACTAGATAAGACTAATTGAACACTTGCATGAAGAGCAGTACAGAAGTATAATGGGAAACCATTAGAGCTGATTATCTAATACTGTCCAATATTTGTCAGTACTTTCCAGCAGTAAATAGCAATAATTTCTCATGATATAATTAAACAACTTAACACAATCTAAACCTGCATAACAGGCAGAAAAAAGAATATATGCACAAATGAAAAAGATTAAATCGTTTGAGTTGATTGCTTTTGAGACAATTAGCTTCCTAGCTACTATAGCTCGCAGTAATGACTGTGGAGACTAAAAACATGACTCAACAACCTGCTGTTTTCACAAGACAGTGTCTAAATATCCTACTTTTAGTTTAAATTTAAAACGTCTCCCTGCAGTCTGACACAAAACACAAAACCTCATATTATTACCTAAGGCAAACAAAAGCACATATCTAAGACTTGGGGGAAGTAATTTTTCACATTTTAACACCCTCTAAGGCTTTTTCTTCCTTTATTTTTTCTGAGGAAAAGATTTTTTAAATCTCCAGACACCCTGTTCTCATTCTGGCCATCAGCAACAAAAATAAATAGCTTGGATTGAAGCGGAATTACACAAAGATATTAGGTGTAAACCATCCTCAATGTCCGTGGCTAAATTGGCACAAACCTGATCCTCTGCAAACAGAAGGGGGCAGTGGAGTGATGCAGCCAGCTTTCTGACAGCGTCCAGATGCTCTGTGGGGACTGAAGCATTACGAGCTACAAGAGACAGAAGCATAAAAGGTCAGCCAGTCAGAGAGACAGAAAAGGCTGAACTGAGACTAATACAAGGGAGGAAGAGGATGATGATGCACTGTAAAATAGTGGATATTATGAAAAATGATTCCAAAGTTTTGTTCTACTTAATCTCTTTTGCTCCTCTTTTTTGCAGCTGAGAAATAAAAACAAAAATGTAATTCACACTGCCATACCATTAGTGACCATGAAGCAGACTTTTCCAAGGAAATAGCCAGGGTCCAAATATTTCAGAGAAGTTTCTGCTGACTGGAAACTATGACAACAACAAAAATAATACAGTACGTCAGAGAATGAACTACTACATCACATTCTGTCTTAGCAACTGGTTTATACTTAATACCAGAGTAAAAAATCTGTGGATGAGTTTGAAAAAAATGCTTTGAGATAAAAAGCGAAGAAAATATATTATGATCCAAGAACTGGATAGCTCTGGTTAACATGCAGTCGATGTCTTGTTCTTGATTTTTCTAATAATTGCAGTTTACACTAATTTGTGTGGTTAAGAGGACAACAATAATTTTTGCATCACCTGTGTAAGGACAACACACAATTCATTAGGTTGTATGCAGGCAAAATACAACAGGGTAGTGTGTTCAAGTGGGTAGGAGAAAAAAAATATGGCTGTGTAAGGATAGAAAGTTACCTGAGTTCTGAGGTCAGGTTGATGATGAACACCACCAGATCTATCCTCGGACGGCTCTCATCGTTCTCCATGGGCAGAGGAAGACTCTTAGCTAGTCTCCTGTCGAGTACAGTGAAGGTGTGTGTTGTCAGGTTTATTACAGGCACTGACACGTAGTAAACAGAGACACTGATGCTAACATCAATGGGGATGAATGATAGATTAAATGAGAGTCTCACATTCAAAGTATTTATACATCACACAATTCAAAGTGGTCGTATGACAGTTAAAGAATACTATACGGTGACAGTATAAGACAATATACTGTATGTGTTAAAAAGCAGGATTATTAAGTACCAAGTTATAATGATAATAATTAGTAATAAAATAGTGAATAGTGATATTTATGATTTACAATGAATGCAGCCAAACAGTCTGGAGTCGAACCCTACATTTTTAACAAGTACATATCCTTTCTTTTAATGATATCTCAGATATAAACAACAAAAAATAATAAATAAACCAGCATTTAATGATCAAAAAATTGTAAAAGTTGCAGCAGTGACACATAAATGTAATAACATAAAACAAGTCTTGTCCAGCTGACTGAACAGGTGCTTTTTCCAGTTTAATGAACATTTTCTGTAACAGTAAGCTGACTTCAGCAGTTTGCAGGATGGAATGAGTCCTACTCACACATTCACAGCGACACTGGTCTCCTCCACCAGAACGTCAGCTAAACTCTGCTGAAACTGCTCCTCGTTCTCCACCAGCTGCAGGAAAAAACAGTCCAAGTCAGCACAAAACCTGATGATCACACTTTGCAATATCACACACTGCCAGAAAAAGGAACAAATAAAAGAATGTCCTAAATTGGTTCAGAGATGCCTTTAAAAAAAAAAAAGGCTCAGTCATGTGTTTACATACAGTTCAGAGGCGCAGGCGATTTACTTTAGTGTTGACATTGTATGCAGCTGACTTTCTTTCTAAAAGCACAGTTGCTATCATGTGGTTTATAAGTACTGATACAATCATCAAATACAATGCAATTAAAGTCTTTACATATTTGTTAAATTATGGTCTTGTAATCCACAGATTATCAAAATATTAACAATACACTTATAGATGTAGAATACTATTCTGTGCCCAGTGGTAACATTCACTAATATCCACATATATAAACATGACCTAAACACCTTTCCGTGTGGCTGCAAGTTTTAAACACGAGACGGTATTCTTCTGTTCTGACTACAAAAGGGGGGCTGGAGCACACTGCTTAATTCACAGCCTTTTATTGTCACAACAGACTGATAGTTCAATGCCACTGTGTCTTAAACAGAGCATCTGATAACACTGATGAAGACACAGCAGTGTTAAAATGTAAGTCTGCTTGCACAATAAAGCTGTGAATGAAGCAGTGTGCTCCAGCACCCTTTTTTGTACTCGTGAAATTTGGTGTCCTCGACACCTGTCTTAGCTGCATTTTGCCTGACAAAGTGTGGAGAACCTTGTTTGTATGATTCCTTTAAACAAAACCATAAGATTGGAGCAGTGGTTGCCAACCTTTTCATCGTCTGACACATAAAATAAATCAATGTCTTTGTGTGACTGGAGAGGCTGAAGTGTCCAGCAGTTCAAACTTTTTCAGAAAAGTAAGACTATAAACAACTTCTGCATATACAGCACAAGTACGTTTCTTCATATTTTTTATTTTACTTATCAATCTTATAAAATACACATGCATTATATAATATTTTATTGCATTCTATCCATTCTTTTTAACACTGGGGAATAAGTATTCTGTGTAACACATAGCCTTTCTACAACTGAATTGATATTATGGAACAGCCGAGTATGCTTTATATTGGAAATCATAATAAGCAGATTGAGAGTGGGATCATAGACTAAAAGTCACAATGACAGAGCACACATCTGCAACACATAGAGTTAATGAGGCTGTTGAGGTTCCTTGTGAAACGTTGTTCCAAACCTTCTGAAGGGCTTCGGGAAACTGGGAGACATTTTGTGTATTCTATACCTTTCTGTCAAGTGGAATAGACTATAAGCATAATAAATGGGTTTGGATAGAGTTAGGCCATTCTGTCTAGTAGTTGTTTTTTTTTTTTTATCCAGAACAGGCAACAGCAGGAAAGCTAAATGTGGCTACGGCTGCTAATTTTAACTCATTTTCACAGACGGATTAACCTTATTTTGACACTAAAATAAGATGGTGGTAGGCGAAGCTGATGTCTGGGCCAGTTTAGTAACTTTATTCACATTTATTCTGCTGTTAACTCATCCAGAAAGCAGCTGGACAAACACAAAACCGACTGCCAGCAACGTCAACACGTAACTGTAAGTTGAAACTACGAAACAAACTCACCAGGATATTCGCTGAGTTCAGACCAGGAAGTTTACTAAACGGTTTTAGCAGCGACATTTTCACATTTAAACGCTAAAAACCGGTCTTAGCTTCGTAAATTTAGTAAACAAACCCGGTGAGGAGACTTTCCGGTCGTCTCATTCACCCGCGCTTCTTTTCCGAATTTGCGTCTGACGTCATGACGTCGCCACTTCATTGCATCGCTCGTATACAGTCGATGCTTCATTGGCGGGTGTCTCGCGCCCCCTGCATGCTGCTGAGAGTGTTACAGCCCATCCGTCATAATCGGATCCAAGCACAGACTGTACTTATTGAGAACATTAGTAATACAGAGACAGAGAAATATCAGATAAAAGGTGTCAAGTGAGCAGGCAAGAGTTCTGGCTCTTTCGCAGTGACACTATGATCCTAGGAAGAAATCAATTTTCCTATCTAATCTGTACAACATTGTTTATATATAACTAAAGGAAGTAAACTGTACTTTCTCCAGTAACAAATGCAAACTATATTTTAGCTATTTTAAAGCCACAAAACATGATCATTTACATTTTTTTCTGCACAATGTCTCTCTATGCAAAACAGCATTTTTGGGGTAGTTTCTTTAAAATTGTGTAGGCACACTTGCATGTGATCCAATACAACAGCACTGCCACAACATCCACCTTTACAAAGCTCAATCTTCAGTTTTGGGAGAAATTGTCAGAAAAATGTAAATGAACATGTTTATTATTGAGGTAATAACTAAAGGAGTAGAATACTTTATACTGTGATTACGTTCATTTTTCTGTACCTCAATACTACAACAAACAATTTAATCAATAACTTTTTGACAGCGTCAAAAACCTGAACATTAAGGCATCGCAAAAGTATACTTTACTCTTTTCCATTCATTGGATTTTCATTCATTAAGATTATACAGGTATAACTAATAAACAGCAACTGAGTGTACATCTATGTTCAACAGTACACCAATACAGGTGAAAGGATGGGCCCACTGCCTACAATGCAAGCTCTCTAACCACAAAACTTGCAACATTGCAGTGGTGTCAAAAAAAAAAATTACAAAACAAACAAGAAGACAGAAGTTAGAGAAAAATCTGTGCAGTGTATCACATTTGAATGGAAGCAGAAAATTTTATTCACTTAATGGTGGCACAGCAAAATAGGTCCTCCCCCCAAATTCCTCCATTTTTTAATTACAGCAAAGTATCACTTTGTATATATGCACATCACCTTTATGCCTTCACGTGTCAGGATCTGAGCAAAAATATTTGGATGACTTTTTTTATGGGGATGAGTGATTTTATTTTTAAAGTACAAGCTGATCACTGCATCTGAACAAATATGTATCAGATTTCCAAATGAGATTGTTATGGCTTGAAGGCAGCAAATAAAACACAAACAATAGAAGTGCCTTCAGTCATTCACAGCTCATTTTAAGCATTACTGCGAGGCCATTAATGAGACCAACCCATGTAAATAAACCCACAGCTACTGAAACTAATGAAACAGGGGAACCGGTATTAACATTAAAGTTATAACTAATGATAAAAAATAACAGCACTTTATGTGAGTAAAGTAAATACAGATGTAAAGTAGGGCTGCTGTCTTTTCACTTACTCTCTCCTCATCACTGTGAAAACAACTGTACATAAGATCGACAAGATGGCATAAAAAAACAATGACCATACTGCTTCCAGGTCAGACTAGCCTCACGCAGTCTTATAAAAGTCGGTTTGTTTCTTTGACTGCCACTTCTGAAGTAGTTCCCTCATCCTCATTGTCCACCCTGGCTAATGTACACATCCCACTTTCAACACGAACACACATACAGACTCAACACACCCATCATTCTCATCAGCACACTCATCTCTCCATGCTCCTTTTTACTAGACAATACTATCCAAATCAACGACCCTGGAGGCATTCATATCTCCCCAGACTCTCGCTCCTCAGAGCTGGAGCGTCGGTCCCGCTCGTACGACAGGGATCTTTCTCGTTCCCTGGCCTTGGCCATGTCCGGGGAGGGAGACCTCTCCCTGTCCACCCAGTTTGCATACTCCGCTCTGTCATTGCGCCAGCCCTCCGCTGCACCCTCCTTCCACCTCTCCTGGGACGGTGAGGGCTCTCTTTCGCGGGTGTGAGATGATCTGTCTCTGGAGGATCTGAGAAAAAAAACAAACAAACAAAAAAAACTGCATCATGTAGAAAGTGTGTTTGGGAGTAAGTCAGAGCAGTGGAGAGAAAACAAATGTTCATGTTCATAGCATCAAGACTCCATACATTCCCTATTTTACTAAGTATAACATTCAAAGCTATATAAATGTAAAATCTGAATGGTAATCAGTGGCTACTGTGTTAAACTCAGAGCAGAAATGTCAAAATGAGTGCACAGATCAATTCTGAGCTGTAAAATTTTTACAACAAATGATTCTGTTATTCAGATTATTCTATATTTTGCTGTCATAAATGGCAGAAAATTGTGAAAAATAACAATATTTTGGATTTCAAGTTTCTTTTTTGTCCAGAATTCTGTTTAAAGCTCAGATGCTCAATGTACAGAAGTGAATGATACTGAATGACATAAAAAACGATATATACAGTGTAGCAGCAAACAGCTGATGTATAGTCACTGACTGCATAATGTGATTCATATGTAGTTGAGACTGAGTTTACTGTCAGACCAGTAATCCTGTCCGAATGAAGCTTCATACAAGTTACAGTGATGATTAAGATTCACACCTCTTCCTTTTGCGTCTGTGAGAGTGGGAGCGTGAGCGATGTCTGTCCTTATGTCGGTGTTTCCTCTCTCTCTCCCGATCCCGATCGCCACCTTCTTCTCTGGAACGGGAGGAATGGTGACGCCTTGATCGATGGGAGGAAGAACTGCCTCCATCCCTAGATAAATGATTTATTGGAGAAAAGCACATTTTAGTGTTCATGTAATGCTACAGATTCACAGATTCTCTCATGCTGACGCTGAGGTGGTCATTCTGATACATCTAGTCTCTTATTAAATAATGGCCGACACAATCACCACAGTCACTAAAGAAATGGCATTTGCTGTGTAACATTGCTTTTCTGCTCTTTTTCTCTGAAGGTAAAAGTTTTAGTTTAAAAAATGTAATAGTTCTTTGTGTTGTAAGTGGTGATGATATAACAAAAGTTTAATAACTTGCATCCTATTAACATTTTAGATAGACACAGTTTTGTTTTGTTTTTTGGTCTGTGTTTAGCAACATCAGTTTTTATATTGTGTAAAATCATGTGTCACACATTTTGGACAAAACAAACTTATCAGGTGATACTGGGCACAGCACACATACCTGTAACGGTCTCCGCTTCTAGATCTTGACCTGAGACAGGAACACACAAAAGACAGTTTCAGTTTCCAGGTGACTCGAAACCTTTTCATTGTAGACTTTAACAGTGGAAGTTGACTATTTCTTACCTCCTGCGCTCCCTTTCTCGTTCTCTCTCCCATTCTCGCTCTCGTTCCCGCTCTCTTTCTCGCTCTCGCTCCATCTCCCACTGTCGCTCTCTTTCATCTTCTCTTTCGCGTTCTTCTCGTCTTTTCATTCGCATTCTTTCTTGTTTCTCTATAACAGCTTTCTGGATTAAAAAACAAACAAACAAATGAAATAAACAAGCCAGAAAATCTAAGGAAGGCAAACTCAGTATCCTCTTTTATGTCTTCTTCTAACTCACTTATACCTTCAGGCTTTTTTTCTCTCTCTAAACTAAGGGTATTTATTGTAAGTGGGTAAATTATTGGTTTGGGATTTTTTTCCGTTTATGCTTTTTTTTCCACTGTGAAACTATTTGGAACATTGTTTTGGAAAAAAAGGTATTCGTCATTAGTCATCATTAAGTAAAATACAGCTGAGCATACTCCATCTATGACTGCAATTTCTCTTGAATTTAATAGATACACTGACCAATAATCATTCAACTATATACTTTACTACAACTATTATCCTATATATATGGTGCACACACACACACACACACACACACACACACACACACACACACACACACACACACACACACACACACACACACACACAGTTCTAGGGCACCCTTACCCTCAACTTTTCAAGTTTCTCTCGGATTTCAATAAAACCGAGGTGCAGTTTGCCTCCAAAGTGGTCAGCCAGACGTCGATCATTGTCATGGAGGCCCAAGTAGGCTGAGCACACCTCACAGACCCGTAGTTTTTGTTGTTGAAAGCTGGATGCTGGCATCGAGTTCCTGTACACATCCTGCAAGAACAAAAATTTTAGCCCTAAGGAGCCAGAGTATATTACACACCATTGTATTTCATACAAGCTTGAGCAGAGCCTATAGACAGAGGACAGGTTGTTGCTGTGATATATTTTAGCTCAATTTAATGCAGTCCATGTTAACTGAAAAAGTTACAGATATTGAGTTTATAAAATGTGTTTGCTGCATGATTTCTTCTTTGTGAGACTGGAATATGGATGTTTATCACGTTATTAAACCTTCACTGAGTGAAACCATGTCTCTGGTCTGGCTGGTGACTTAAGAGTAAAAATGAGATTCCAACACAGTAAACCTATCACAACAAAGTCAGTAATACATTTCTTACCTCTGCTTCTTTCTTTAATGCCCGGGTTTTCTCCACCTTTTCCAGCAGCTGCTGAGCCTCATCTACGTTCCCCTCGCCCCCCAGCTGCTCTGCCCGGGCCAGCAGCTTCCCGATCTCCTCATTCAGCTCGTGGACACGTTCAGCCTTTTCATGAAGGAAAAAACAGAGACAAAATAATGTAAGCTGTAAAAGATGTTACATTGCATAGACTCTTGACAACTATGTGCTATGAACTTGCAGTTTTCAAAGGAGATTAATCAAGGTCTGTAATATAGAGCACAACATTTATAGAAACTTGATAATTAATCTGACTAACAATGTCTATGGTGAGTTTGTCACCTTTGCAGCCACTTCAGCGCTGATCTCATCCTGTGTCTCTGCTAGTCTCTTCTTGGCCAGCTCAGTTCTGCGGTCACAGTCAGCGATGAAAGACTGAAGGTGTTCAGCAGCCTGTAAGAAAACCCGAGAGATAACCGCCTTGTATTACTTTGCAGGAGTATTAAAAATGTGTAATATATTGCCTGAAGACACCACTGCTTAGTCTGCGCCTGCTATAAAGTGTGTAAATTTGTCAGCTATGCCCATAACAGCCTGCTCCTCATTATGCCTTCATCCGAGTCACTCCGGAAAACTAAGCCTCATAACTCAGCAGTGCCCCTTCGACCAAACTGATATGGTTTGAGACGGACTTGTCGTCTCATAGACAGGTTTACCTGATTTGATTCATTCACCAACAACCAGACTCTTCTAATTTTGATAATAAAGCAGCCTTGTTTGTCAGGCAACCTATAAATTGTGTAAAGAACTGTGTAGCTACAGGAAAGCAAAAACTTAAATTTAGGGCATTGTGTAATAACAGCCTCTAATAATTTACTTTATCCAAAATATTAGCAGACAAGATGAGCTGGTGCAATGCAAATCAGGATATACAATAGGGGAATTACCAGAGATTAAAACTCAAAGAAAGAACTGAATGAAACAAAACTAGTAAAAATACAAGGTGTTACTTTTGTGTTGCCACAAGTATTGACAATTAGCTGAATTTTAAAACACTGCACACTTAAAATACCACAAGACAGGATTTCACAACAGAAGCTTTAAGTGACGGTCATTTTCTCTACGATAGTCACGATCATGATTTAGCTAACAATGAATTCTAACTTGAGGGCTATACATAGCAATGTGTCCATGTGTTTACTTACATCAAGTTCAAAGAAGTATTCCTGCTCTTTTGAGGCAATCTCATAATCTGCTCTCAGGGCCAAGTCATGAACTTTGATACACTCTCCCAGGTCCATCCTCTGCAGAAAACAGAATGACATCAATGTATTGTGAGAGGCTGCTTCATTTTACTCTTGATATTTGTCCTGAATTTTTTAAATTAAATAAAAAAAACAAAATATATATCATGCTAAGAGTGTAGAGTTAGGCATATAAATGTGACAACCTCTGAGTTACTGCAAAGCAAGACCAGGGGCCTCATTTATCATCAGTGCGTAGAAAAGGTTCTAAATTCTGTCTTACAAATGAAATTTAGAGTGTGCCTAAGTACAAAAAAATCTGTATTTATCAAACGTGCATACTAGGGTCGTAAGCACATCAGTGTAGATAAATCTCACTTGTTCTTAACTTCTGTGCTCGTGCACGTTGCCTTCAGGAACACCTCCAAATCACCATATAGGGCAAAAACACGCCTCTTTATAAAACAAGTGAAGATTTATTTTTTCCTCACCTGTCGTCATCATAGTGGCAAAAAGGGCGAAAAAGAGGAACTTTTCTGAAACTGAGATCGAGGTACTTGTCAGCGAAGTTGAAGCAAACCAGAAAATATAGTCTGGTGCGTGAAATGTTGGAATAAGCAGCGAAAGGGAAAATGCTGCATGGGACATGATAACCACCGCAGTTATTTCTGTTGGGTCAGAGGACAGATCGCTGGCAAAATTTTTAAAAAGTGGTTTGACGTTAAGCTCAGTGCCAAAAAATAAAAAGCATCACAGCCCATAAAAGAGAAATGGCTGCAACTGGAGGAGGACGAATTAATACCGAACGTTCACCCAGTGGATAACCCTGATCACTACAGATGACATGCTTTAGTAACCAAACAAAGTCCAGCAAAAAACATTATCACACTCTGTGACACTCACCAATAAGCCACCCATCTTCAGCAGCTCCTGCTTGGAGACTCACAGAGCTGTTCTGCTCAATGAATGAGTCGTGCGTTCCTCCAAGCTACCGGGCAACAACGTTGCATAGCCACAAATGCGCATCGCAAATTATCTGTACGTTGATTGAATGAAACCCTTTTCTATTTACAAAATTAAGTTTGTTTAGTGATGCTGCTTTGATTGCGATGTGGGTGGAGTCTATGGCTCCACTTATGTTTGGGAATCCAGCGACGGTGTTAAGTCCCCATTTGATTTGGGTTCGTTGGTGATGGCTGGAAGGGAACTGTAGGCTGGGACCAGAGGAATTATGGCATCCAACACTGCCGGCTTGATCTTGCTCAGTGGTGGCTGGGAAATGCCGTATATGTCTCCAACCTCACACTGGATTGTACCGGTGGTCAAAATCCCTGAATACTTGCTATTTGTAATTTCACTATTCTGCCGCTCGATTATGTGCGTATGCATGGTCAGAGGTGTGCGTATATTTACGCACATTCCTAAGTATAAGTACAAGTTGATAAATTCCATACTTTGCGTAGGAATGTTGGTACGCATGCTCTACGCACATATCTGTGCGTACACACTGATAATAAATGAGGCCCCAGGTCTTTTGCTGACTGTACTTCTTTTTAGCATCTGACATATATATATATATATATACACATACACACTATATACAGTGCTGAGGAGTAACATTTGTTTTTGTATTGGCTCTGTCTTCAAGCACATGGGATTTAAGATGATACTTTGCAATGAGGTTAAAACTCCAACTCTAAATTTTGCAAGTTTTTAAACCCACATCAGATGAACACTGTTAGACTGAAGCCTTTTTAAACAGTCCAGTCAAGTTTAGGGGACAGAAAATAACTTCAGAAGTCAACAAACTTCAAACAAGTCATAATATTTTATCCATTATGGTCAGCGAATGGCTGAAGTCTATGAATCTGCCTGTCATTAATAATGTTCCAAAAGATCTGTTCTGTGAGGCTTACTCATTTCAGGGCCTTTCTGCCTTCAGTCTGATCATATGCCAATGAAACACTACAAAATAAAAACTCAGTGGTAGTTATGTCTAGATATTTATTCACTGAATGTTTGCTGTCTTGCCATATTGGACCTAAAATGAGAAAACTTCAGATAAAAATGGCAAAGACAAATCTCACAAAACTTAACTTCATGACTCTTCTTTCATTTCAAATCCAGAGACGTGGAGCAGAGCATAAACCAATAAAAACAACTCTTGTTATTTTTTTCTGTGTGCACTATGTATGATAGTGTATATAGGTCAGGTCTATGAGTAGATATGACAATGTCCTCTGTGTGTAGGTGTGTAAACACAGTACTCACAGTGCCTGAGAGTATGTCATGAGGACATGAATCCAAAAGGTGACTTTTGCAGACTCGCTCATCTGTGAATTTGATTCTTTGCCGCATGGTGTCTCCTTTAAAAAAAAGAGAGAGAGAGAAGAACAGAAGACAGATATGAGTAATACAATCTTATGAGCCAGCTCGTATGTGAACCAGACAAAAACTTAGCACCACATATACATGAATTAATTTGGTGCGACGTCCCACTTGGAAAGAGTCAGTCTTACATCTGTTCCTACGTGTATTTATCAATGAACAGGAAAGTTAGCTGCTCGGAAAAAGTCCAAACAAACGATAACATCTAGTGGTAAGAAACGGAGCTACGAGGAAGAGCTCACTGGTCATGACGAAGTAAAATGCTAACGTGATGTTTTGTTTTGCTTTGCAGATGATGTAACAACAAAACTTGCCAGGTAAACTCGTATACAACAGGTAGCTAGCCGGCTAGCTGTCCTCATGTTAGTTAGCTTGACTCTCGAAGCATGCCGCACTGTCACTGCCTGCCAGACTCGTTAGCTTGCCGGCTAACGCTAGCAACAATCACAAATTTCATCAGTCAGCAGTGAAAACCACGCAGGGTGCCGCTCACCGTCTCTCCCCGTCCCCATGAGCTGGTCCAGCATCGCTCGCATCTGCGCCTGGGCCGACATGTTTGTCTGGTTGTTGAGCTAACGCCGTGTGACTCACTCCTCGCCAGCGGCGGTCTCCACACATGCAGCCTCGTCAACTGCAGGCCTCGTTGGCTTCTCCAACACCACCGTGGACAACTTTTCCCACAAGGAGAAAAAGCCCCAGTCCCCCCGAGCCAGCCAGCTAATGTTGTGTAACGTTAGCTCAATGTACTGGTTAATACAGCACTTTAGCGGAAGATAAATGTGACTTTGTAACGGTGGATGGCTCTGGGTCGGCTGAGCAAGTGCAACGTCTGTTTGAAAACTGCTGGGTCCGCTGGTCGGGTCGTGTGGCAAGTTGAGACAGCGGTGACTGGGTGTAAAGAGGGAGTTTGGTTAGCTAACTAAATCTGTGTAGAAATATGTAACATCTTCTGCTGTTACATAGCAACTAATTGTATTTCCAGCCGGTCAGCTAGAAGTTATCAAGTTTGTTCTGCGTCCTCTCTTCCGTCTTCCCAGCTCCCCTCTGTGCGCGTCGCCGCGGAGTGCGTTCTGGCCTCTCCGCCTCGAGGAAGTGCTGCAGTCAGCCTCGCGCGCCGCTCTCGTGACGTTATACCACAGTCGGAACAGAAGACAAACGATTGTTTTGAAATTATTATTATTACTTTAAAGTAATAATAATAATTTCAAAATTTTATGTTTCTTCTGGATCTTTCCACACAAAACATTTATCTGAAATGATATTTTTTGTACAAAAATACATGTCACGCGGTGATACACTAGAATTTTGTGGATAAACTATATATGGCATAAAGTATAACATCATATATGTTTTAAACTCTGACAGTTCCTAAAGTAATGTTTTTTTGGTTTACAGTAAATGACAGTAAATGTCCCAGAAATGTTTCACTTGTGTTAAAATTCACAAAATCACGCCAAATTTACCAAAACATTTTTATAAAAGAGTTAAATACTGACTATGCTTGTAAAGTTTGCACTCTATTTGGTTGGTTCAATATATAAAATTGAATCAAAATGTGAGTAACTGTGCAAGTTGGTGTATCTGATGTTACATTTTTAGGTTAGTGGGGAATTAAATGAAGTTGCAGGTCATTCTGGGTAAATATACAAATCTAAATGGACTGTTTTTATAGTTTTACTCACAGAAAAGAACCTTTTTTTTTAAATTCTGTAATTCTGATTTTTAAAATGAATGCTAAATAAATAGACATCAAGTCTTACTACGTTTTTATGTTAATATTATAGATTGTATACAGTATATGGTGAATATTTTTGTTGTTGTTTTTGTTTGTTTTGTAAATAAAGTTCGAAATAATAATAAAAAAGAAATAGATTACATGGCAGTTGGTTTGAATACAGCATTTAATTAGATTTAAATAGATGTTTTGATATCACGTATTATTGTTGGTGTATTTTTCATTCAAAAGGCAAGTCACGCCCATATAAGTCATCCCAGTCCCACCCATGATCTCTCACACATACTGGAAAAATGGCGACCAGTTTACTGCGGCTGCCGCTGCGACTCTCCACTAGAAATACGGAGATCCTGACCCGTACCAACGGCTTGAAAACATCAAACATATCCAGGACGACTCAAAGTAGGACCGCAGTTTCTACGCCGTCTGGAGCAATTCTCCCGAAACCGGATAAAGTGAGTTTTTCTGCCTTCGCTACCGAGAAAACCGACAAGAAAATTTGACTGACATAGGAGGCGGGACTTAGTGCTGAATTGACAGCAGCGCTGGCCAATAGAAAGGCAGGATACTCACTGACTTCCTCAAGTCAGCCAATAAACGCGTGTTTACACAGACTTCGACGCAATTCAGGAAGTAATTACCCCTAATTTTATAAAATCATGACACATTCTTGATTCTAGGTGACGTTTAATATAGGCATTTGTAAAAAATAAACAATTAGGAGGTTGTCTCTTGAAAAAATTGTTGTCTTTAGTGCGTAATAATTTGACCTAATGACTCCCGTTTTTGGTGTGCACTGTTCTGTGTTGTTCAGGCAGGAACTGTCGAAGTGGTTGGTATATGGAAAGATAAATGTCCAGATCACAATGAAACATATCCTGAGATATGTTATCCCTTACTTTAAATGCACATCAGCCTTCCTGCAGCAATTCAACGGAACTGGAATAGAACAGGAGAAACTCTTTTAAAGACAGAGCAAGGGCCAAATTACAAAAAGAAAAGAAAAGAAAGTACAAAATAGTTTCTGGATCGATTGACTTCATACTGAATTAAATAAGTCAAATAATTGGAACTGAATAACCTGCAACCTGACATTCCTCCCACTGTTTCAGCAGTGGGTCATAACCAAATTAATTGTGGGAATCTTTGTAGTTATTATTATTATTATTATTATTATTATAGGATTAAGCTTTAATATTTATTGTACGTTGCTTAAGTTGTATTTTCCTTTTTTTGTTGTTGTAGGGTTTAATCCTTAATGCTAAAATTTCTTAAGCAAATTTACACCATATATACCAGTATAGGGTCTTAATCGCATTAATGTTATAATTGCCAGGTTAATTAATAACAGCAATCTTATTTTTCTTCTGTAAAGCACTTTGGCCCAACTGTCGTTGCTATGAATGTGCTATATAAATAACAGTGATCTCACCTCACAATATTTGTATCTCTACCTGCTGGTATACAATCTGGTCCACCATAGTGATGTAATTATAAGCATACATTACAATAGGAACTGGCCATGCAGCAATTATGTTTACACTTAGTTTTTACACCAAGGCCCTCTTCAAACTGGGACTGAATCCATTGTAAAGCCCCAGTGTTTTCTAGTCCAGTCATCTTCAATTAAAGATGCTTTGAGATAGCTGAAATTCACAGTTTCAAACCTCATAATTTACATAAATATGGTACACAAACTTTTAGAAAAAATTCGGTAAAGTGTGCTATGAATAACTTTTTGCTGAGCTTCTCCAAATGTCCTCTAAATCTATCTGTGCCACGGCTGTCGGAGATGATCCACAATACTGTTTAGGCGATGTCCATCACATTTCCTCTGATGATTAAGGTCCTGTTTTTGCATTTTGGGGAAACAGTTTCCCATAGCCATAAAGCTAGAACAAAGAGCTTTACAGCAAACTGACATGGGGACCTTGATTTAACCATAACATTTCATATATTTTAATTTTTCAGACACCTTTTGGTCTTTTCCGCATGACAGTAGTGGTGGTGCCTTTCCTTTACGTGGGAACTCTGATCAGCAAGAACTTTGCCGCTCTCTTGGAAGAGCATGACATCTTTGTTCCCGAGGATGACGATGATGACGATTGAGCTAACTTCGGAAAATACATGGTAAAGTCAAAGTGTACATTAGCCACACCTTATTTAATGTTTAAACATCTCTGCTTGGACCTTTTATGCACAGTTATCCTGTTTAGAGGGTGTGTCAGCTGCATGTTAAAGGGTGCAGTTTGTTGCATGTTTACTGTCATGACAACTGGTAACAGATGACTTTGTTTTCCTAAAATTTACATCCACAGGGTGCTTCACATTATTAACTGAGAGCATACCAGCTGGCATGGGGAAGATGAGGAAGATGGGACACTTTGACTTCCAAATACACCCCTCTACCTCCACCCATCTCCTTCCTCTCTCCTCTGATACTTATCATATTTTCAATTAAAGATTTTATCAGAAATATCATCATGTGAGGCTATCAAAACTACTTTATGCCTTCACTCTTGTTTGCATGTTTGTGTGTGCCAACTCAATAAACTGAATTGATTACATGTGGAAAACACTTGTTGTTTTTTAATCTTAACAGTCAATAGTTGCCATAGTTTTTATACTGACTCTTCCAAGACATATCCAGTCACGACAACACATATTATTATTATTATTGTAAAGTAATAATGGTGTTTTATTTAGCAGTTTTTTGATATTGGCTTGCTTGGTGTTTGTTGTTTCAAGTAACTTTCAAAGGGTTGTCTTCATTGGTCAGGTGTGTCGTGCTCCCTCCTGAAGTGCAGCGTTGGCCAGTCTTAAATGTTCGTTGAGGGAACCCATCTCCAACTGGCTACGACCCCTCGTGTCACTCAGCTCTACATAGGCCTCTTTATAACGCTCGTAAGCTGCGTCTTTCTCCTAGAATAAGAACAAACATGGCAGGCAAATTAATGTCAAGATGTTTAAAGTTCTGAATTTGCAATATTTAGGAGAGAAATATAAAATAGTCCTATACACTTCAGTAGAAAATGACTTCTGTTTTTGGTTCTTGAAGACATTTCACTTCTTATTCAAGACGCTTCTTTAGTTTCACCTGACTGGAGTGTCTGTGTTTATTGTAACCCCCAAATCACATGGCAAATGCCCCATTAATGACCTGCTAGGTCGTTGGTAAGTCCAGGAATAAGACTACTGGTCCAGCTCTCCATTCTAAGATTGGGTTACCCTGCCTGAGTCTCACCGTAACAGGGACTCTAGAACTGCTTAAGTAGGAGTTGAGGAAACTTACCTAGCTTCTGATAACCTTCATCAAAATGCCCGCTTACTCTAATAGTTGACCCAACTGGGTAGCCTTTTTAGCCGAGTTATCCTGCCAGTTATGTTTGTTAACGGCAGCTTTCCTCTAAATGATCTGGGATCTTTGTATGTTGCTAGGTTATGTTTAGAGGTCAGGATAAAAACCCCAGGGATACATTTCTAAATCTATGATCACATTACAACTCTTAAGACTTGTTGTAAAACTCAGGTGACGTATAACTCAAGGTGTTTATTGGTGGTAAAATTGTCTTGTGAGTCATATCAAGACAGTGTTGTAAGTACCTGATAAGTGGTGTCATAGACCCCCTCCTCTTCAGTTTAACAATAGATGGCTTCCTCAACTCCTCTCAAACCAGTACGCTTTTCTGTGTCTGTGAACACTGCTGTCCTCAAAGGAGTGTCCCTTATTGTATAGATGCAAGTGAATATCTGAGTCTTGAGCTGAGGTTTTGGGTCTCCTCTGTTAAACTTTGTGCTTGTGGAACCCTTGTTTAGTCTCCTCTCTCTATACAGGTCCATGCAGTGCTTGCTGAATTTGACTGCATATACAAAGTTGTTCAACTTGTGTTTGGGTGTTTGATCCTCAGGGTGAACCCGTTTTTGTTTCTGCGTGTTGTTGGGTCTGAAGTGCATTGGGATAAATAGTGAAGTGACATCAAATGAAACTGTGGTATCATTTAATTTCACTTCACTTTTTACATGTATTTACATCTGAGGCAGTGGAGACTATTAGAAATTGATTTCCGCAAGACAACTCTGTAATGAGATATTATGTGTGACTTTCATATATTTACTGGAAATGAAGAAGCCTCTTGGATGAGATTTGAACCAAAAAAGAACCAAAAAGAGAAGTCCAGTTGCCCTCTGCCGAATCACTTAGTATTACGAGGGCCTTGATGACTAAGAATCTACACGGATGCAGATGTTTGCTGCATTGTAGGATGTAAGAGGTTAGATCACAAAACATACCTTAGTAAGAGATTGCACTTCATTCTGTAGACAGCTGATTTCTTTTTTAAGATATTGTACCTCATTTTCTTTTGCTCTTAGCAGTGTCTGAAAGACATAAGGTATGACCTTTTAATCTTACTGGTTAAATGAAATGTGGACAACTGCAACAAAAAGTTGTTTTAAAAAATCAGTATTCTACCTCATTGCTATGTTCCTCTAATTAAAATAATCATGAAACACTTCAGAACAGAATTACATAGTTGAAAGTCAAGATAAAACAGTTCAGATCTATACAAATGAAATGAAATCAGGCCACAAAGACACAGAGAATAATATACAATCCAATATTTAACAATAATGTAATAAAAAAAAATGAGGAACTGAGGGTAAAATAAACAGATAGAAGCATTGGAAAGTAAACCAAATGGACAATAATATAATACTTATTGAAATAAAGCTTTAAAATGTGTTTTATAATTTCTGCAAGCCTCAGACTCAGTGACTTGGCAGAAAATTGTGTAAAAATGTCCATCAGGTGCAAAAGTATATGTACTATTTACAAATTGTTTTGTTGAACTAACAATCCCAAAACCCAAAGATATTCATTTTACAGTTCTAATCAACCAGAGAAATGCCAATGAATTTTCTGTCATTCAACAGATCAATTAATTGGTAAGTGTTTTAAGCTTTAAATAACAATTCTCACAAATGAATAGAGAATCACCATTGGTTCAACATTTTCGGAGGAATAGTGAAATTGGATGTGCTCAATAAGAAAGATGTGCCACAATTCAACCAGTAGGTGGCAGTATCTGCTGCATCGTGCCAAAGACTCTTAACTCAAATTAGGCCATTTAAAAAAGAAAAAAGAAGCAGGTGACAGTGCTGCTGCAGGGAGACATTACTAGGATACAAGACAAAACGGTTTGAATGCTCTGATCCATTAGTTTCATTAAAGTGGGTTCAGAATCCCTCAACACATCAGGTGTTGCTTTGTAGCTCCCTGTGATGACGTTAATGTCAACATATTTCCTTCAAGCCTAAATTATTAAATCAGTTGCAATAAATAAAGCTGGGAGGGATGCAGCAAGAGTTTAAGAAGCTGCATAACAGCCAGACTTTTACAATCAGGTACCTCTAGTTCTGAAGCAGTGCACTCCGTGTTGCTACAGGATACCACATCCGACCTCTGACCTGTGATGAAATAACGCATACGACTGATCTCTTCCGCCAGCTTGGCCTTAAGCTCCTGAAAAAGATATTTTTAGCTCAAATTCTGTATTGAAGAAATATATTGTAGCTGTACTTGGTATTCATTTCACTTTCTATTAGATGGTTTTGCGTTCAGTTTGTTTTTTTTGTTTTTTTTAAAGGCATGTACAGAAACCTTGTTCTCTCTTCGGAGCTGCTCCAGCTCTTTCTCCTTGCGGCTGAGCTCAGTCTCTTGGCTCTTGCTGCTCTGCTCGGTGTGACTCAGCTCCAGGCACTTCTGAGAGTAGCGATCTGACAGCATATCTAACTCACTGTGCAAGACGTCCGCCTGGGGCCTGACATGCACAAACACACAAATTGTAGAGTAATTTATAAGGGCCCCATCATGCCAGGGATCATGGTCAACTGTAGAACATTTAGAGCCTGCAGCGAGGCTTGTGAGAAGGAGTTGCTGTTATTAGCATGACAACAATGGGCCTACAATAAACTTACATGTGTCCTCTATATGAAGAATCCACGTGTGCTGCTCCTCCAGACGACCTCGTGGCCTTCTCCAGCTGTCTCTCCAGCTCCCCTCTGTGAGCTGCTCTCAGTGCCTCCATAGCTTTGATGAACGGTTAGTTAGTTAGTTAGGAAATTATTTGAGTCCACTTCTCAGCTTTAAAAACAACACAGTTCTATGAGACAAGAGGCCAAGGACAAGGCACCAGTGGGCTTCATGATTTTTAAATATACAGCTACAAAAGAAAAGATAAATTGCAAGTTTAAAAGAAAGCATGACACTGTATACATATAGGGCTGCAAGGTGGCGCAGTTGGTTAGCACTGTTGCCTTGCAGAAGGTTGCCGGTTCGCGTCCCAGTGCGGGCACTGGGATCTTTCTGCTTGGAGTTTGCATGGATGTATACATATACAGATATATGTATGTTGGCTCCTACTTGTTAAAACCATCCATCCATTATCTATACACCGCTTCATCCTCACGAGGGTCGCGGGGAGGCTGGAGCCTATCCCAGCTGACTCAGGTTGAAGGCAGCGGACACCCTGGACAAGTCGCCAGTCTATAACAGGGCCACACTTAGAGACAGACAACCAAGCACACTCACATTCACACCTACAGACAATTTAGAATCACCAATTAACCTCAACATATTTTTGGACTGTGGGAGGAAGCCAGAGAACCCGGAGAGAACCCACGCTGCACGGGGAGAACATGCAAACTCCACTCAGACAGATCTCGGATCCACACCGGGATGCGAACCGACAACCTTCTTGCTGCGAGGCAACAGTGCTACCAACTGCGTCACCTTGCAGCCCACTTGCTAAGACCTTAGAAATAATTAGGAAAGATTTAAAAATAGGAATATATTTGAGTTACAAGTTTGTTGTGCAACATCTGGAGCTTCCCTACAAGTTTATTACTTTAATTTGCCATTTTCCACATATTTCTATATTACATTACGATGTTACAAACTAAGTAAAAAGGTTAAATATTTTCTCTTCTCTATTGTCGATATTTTCTATCCAAAATAATCAATGCGCTTCGTTTAAGTAGCTTAGAGGAAGTCACAGCCAGAAAGTATACAACTAAGTACATTACTTAAGAATTTAACTTATTCTTTATGCTTCCACTCCACTATTAGAGGGAAATATTGTATTTTCATACTCCAATACATTTATTTTGACAGCTTTACAAGTCACTTTTAAGATGAAGACTTTACATATTGGATAATACAACAGGTTTTTAAAACCCAGCATGTCAAAGATTAAATCAGTGGTTTCCAGCCTTTTTGGCTTCTGATATGTGATGAAAAGCAGCATTAAGTTGGGGTCACATTTTAGATGTCTATCAGTTGTTATTGGCAAAAAAAAAGAAAAAAGATTAAAAACCTAAAACGGATTTCTATCTCAGGATTTAGTTTTTTCTTCTGTCCTCTACCATTCCTTATCTGATGAGCCCTGAGAATTATCTGCTCTCCCTGAAAATAAAACTGTATATAAAGTAATTCAAAGCAGCTCAACCTGCAGCTGCTACACCAGTAACATGCTGCTTACAAACTGTATAATAACACTGGTCTACACCCATTTTGGTGTCAAAGTTTTTTTTAGCTGATTTTGGACAATTGCAATGTGCTGAATCCAAATATTACATTGGTTTTGCCCAATGAGGCCAAAATTTTGATTTGATGAAACATGCAATTTGCTTGTATTTACCTTTACAAATGTTGACACTCATCAATTTTTGGATCATTTAGCTTATGAAAAGGATTACAAAACGAAAAATGTCCCCTAAAATCTGATTTCATATGAAAAATACTAAAATAAATCAGTCGCTAATATCAAAAAATGTAATCAATTTAGTGACAAAATCATTTGTTGTGTTTTTTTTAAAAATCAAGTTGGCATAAAAACGTGACCTGATACAGAAAAGTAGATGTCATTTTTGGATTTAGCATTGCTAAAATGTCCTAAATCAGTTAAAAAATCCTAGACACCTTCAAAAAAATATTTTTTTGTAACCCAGTGTAATATATCAGTATAATGTATCACAGGGACCAAACCACTACTTCTACATTAATACTTCAACTACATTTTGCTTGTTATACTTATGTACTTTTTACTTAGTTGGATTTTTTAAGCAGGACTTTTACTTGTAAAGGAGTATTTTTACATTGCTGTATTGAAACATGTATCAAAATAAATAACCAGATATTAACAATGACCAATGATTACCACAGGGCACCATTGAAAAGATTATAGTGAATAATTGAGGTATTAGAAAGATAGAAACTGGAAAGAATTAGGACTCAAGTCTTATGATACAACTGTCTTTGCAAGTATGAAGAATGATCTTTTTATTGTTGAGAACTGTGGTCCAAAATTCTGAAGTATAATTGCAAATACAATAAAAGGCTGTTCCCTACAGAGAAAATGTACTCATAAGAAGCATGTGTCAACCTGTAGTTACCACTGTTTGTTACCTTTAGCAGCTGCCTGGCTCTCCTCCTGCACCATCCTGTCTCTCTCCTCCTGCAGCTCCTTCACCTCCCTCGCATGTTTTTCCTGCAGCTCCTGCAGTGCTTTCCTATGGGCCACTTCCATGGCTTCTAGTTTGGCCCTACAGGGGGCCCCGGGGCCACAGGGACTGTCCACCTCTATGCCCATGGCTGCACGCTCCCTCTTAATGCTTTCCACCTGCTTTCGGAGAGAGACGGCCTGGAAGATGGATGTATGGGGGAGGAAAGGGAGGAGGGAAAAGACTGAGGTGCAGATCGCTTTTGGATATTAACATAATTTCTTTGCACTGGTGCCACTTTAGGTTCTTTCTTACCTCCTTTTGAAGAGCCTCAGCTGTATTAGTTTGAATGGTATAGGCACTATTTATGGATGGAGGAGCCTCCTTTGAGCTCACTATACTGGTGCGTGAACCGGTGACAGCATGGTCGGCCTCTTCGGGGCTTGAGTGAAAAGTCTGGGGACTAACTGGAGACTCTGACACCTGCTGGGTACTTGACTGATAAACCTGGGCTCCAATGAGAGACTGCGCGCTCATGTCCCTGAATGACATCGTCTCAAATTCTGTCCACTTTCTGTTGACCTCAAAGTCCATGGTTTCAATAACAGGCACGGGTACACTCCCCTTTTTCAGCTCCATGGAGTCCCACCTGCTGCCCATCTCACTAAATAGGATGTCCTTCTCAAACCACTTGTTCCTTTCCTCCAGTCGCTTTGCCTGCTCACGGTCCCAGCCCTCCCCTTCTCCTCTATGACTGGCTGGAGATAAGTCTACACCCGGATCTCCGTCGGCTGTTTGGTGGCGACGCTCGGCCTGGTTTGCAGCTGTGGTGGTGGTAGAGATGGATGTGGCAGGTTCATAGCCAGAATCCTTACAGGTGAACCGAGCAGGGGGTTGGCATGACGACGGTCTCTGGGAGAGGGGGTTCTCTTTCTCACTGCCGCTGTCTGATTGGCTGAGGTTTAGAGTGAGGGAAAAGCAGGACGATAGAGTTACACATCCGGAGAAAGACGAGAGAGGGGATTCACTGAAGGCAGACCACCCAATCACATTGTCTGCATTTCTTCACAGTGTTCAGAAATGTGCAGCTGTGTGGAATGATTTGAATTCAACTGAGGATTTTACTGTATTATACCAGAGCTGCATGATAAACATCAGGTGTAGAGCGTTTTGTAATTTGTGCGTAACTTATATGATTAATTAATTAAAACCATGACAGAGTCCTTAAACAGTACTGTAACTGCAAGCTCCAGAATATAGGAACTTTTCAACTTTTAGGCAACTTTTATTTTGTTGTTGTCGTCAACTTCTACAGGCCCAATTTCAGGAATTTTTAATTAGGGTTGTAGAGCAGGGGACCAAGAGCCAGCCAGGAGTTTCATAAACAGAAAACAGAAAATTCAGTTGTTCCACAGTACTCTGTACCCTTATATAAATGGTATTACATGAAAATGGGCATTGTACAAGGGCCCAAATATCATTCTATAACTGCTCTGAATGGATATGACAACACAATATTGTTCTGCTAAATGAAAAGCATCCCAGTGATTGAACTGTGTCTCTTTAGACACATCCTTGAACTTCCTTATCTACAATAAAGAGCTGTAAACCTTAACAATTTTAGTTTAATTTATGATCTTCTTTCAGAGATACAAAGACGTGTTAGGAGCCAAATTATACGGCCGGTGAACTCTGACATAACTTGTCTTTGTAGTAATAGACACGGTTGGTAACGTGGATTAAAGTTAAAACTGGCTTTTACCTGTTTTATACATTGACATAAAATCTAAATTTTTAAGTAGTTTTGTGTACAATTGTCATGATTCTTTTCTTTTTTGTTGTTTTACAAACCATGTTTGAACTGAATTTAAATTAAATTTAGTAGAGCAAGTGAAGCCATTTTATAAGTTTTGCGTTGCGGAAGTATGCTTTTAAAAATGTATTACCCAATAATAGCATATGGTAGACTCCCCACAATAGCTTAGTGTATCTGAGTAGATTTACTAAAGCACTTGTGCTTTGTTTAAGTAATATACTTGTCATTTATATTTCTACTCTACAGTTCCAAGGCAAATGCTATGTGTTCAACTACATTCATTTAGCAGCTACAGTTACTTTGCAAATTCAGAATTTACATATTGAACATACGTTCTTCTTTCAAGTTATATTGCTCTGATATAAATTAATCAACCTAGCAGTATATAAAGTTATTGCAATCTGCTCAAACTTCACCAACTACAAGAGTAAAATTTAATTAAATACATTAACAAAAAATATTTATAATTTCAAATTGTATCTGCACTGAGTAATCTAGGTACATTTGACAGATTACACTTATGTTCTTTCACATGAGTAACATTTTCAGTGTTGGACTTGCAATTGTGTTGTTGTTGTTTTTTTGTTTTTTTTTACAGTATTGTAATAATATTTTTACTTTTAAGTAAAGTATTGTAATACTTCTTCCATCGCTGCCGTCCAGTATAACGTCTGACTCACTGTGGGTTGTTCTGGATCGCCTCCTTTAGTAACTTTACCCAGTTCCGCCGAATTCTGGACGTCATAGCAGAGAGAGTGAACACTGCTCTTTTTGTCTGGAGGAGATCAAAAGAAGCACACACACACACACACACCCACACACACACACACACACACACACACACACACACACACACACACACACAAACAGGAAGCAGCCAAATATTTAACTGTCTCTAAATGACTGTCCAAATAAATGAGCAAAACACAAATGCTGTAAATACACACTTGTATTTGGAGTCCATAGTTCTTCTCAACGTCACACTCTGACACATTCACACAGGACGTCAGGTCGATCTCTCCATCCACATCATCAGACTGCAGCACAAAAAGAACTTAAATTTAGGGGAGTCAAACAAGGCTACAGCCAAAACACACTATAATTTCAGAAAACCAATGAAATCTCTTTGTGTCTGTGTAAACTCAATATTTGCTATATTTGAAACAAACTCTGAATCAGTGTCTTCTCCATTACTTTTGTCACATATCAGTTCATACCTCCTCAGCCTCTGAGTCTCTGTAGAACCTCAGCCAAGTATCACTCAGAACAAACCAGTGTTTCCTCCACTGTTGAAAACAACGGCAATAAATTAAATTGGTGGCATGCACATCAAAGCTGACAAATTTATTTCTTTAGCATCACAGATGCTTTAAGGGATGAGTCATGTCCTGCATAAAATTATAGTTACAACATACATTAGCATAGAACTGACTTATAGCAGAAAAAGTATTTTCAATAACATCCATTCACCTTGCCATGTTCATCCAGTCTGGAAATCCATCCCTTCAAAATAGTCGCATCTGCAATTAAAGGATTAAGAACAGGCTGTTTAAAAGCATGCTGCTGTGGTTTGTGTCTCTTCCTTGGTCGTGACACTAGAGGAAACGGAAACTGTCAATAGCAGACCAACGTGTTTTGTTGAGATAGTGTTCTGAAGCATGCACAGAGAGGCAGGCAAGACAGAGAAGTATGAAAAATAGGAAGTATCCTGCAGAATGGGAACATAAAAAAGGAAGAATTGTAGTTTCTGATAACTGTGATCTCCACCGTAAAACAGCACAAAACAGGAAGAGGAAGAGGAACCAAAGAGCATTATTAGAATAGCTTGAAGGCAAGCAGGTGTTGTTGGAGTGTGTTAGCAGTAAACAACAGAAAATACTCACCATACACGACATTATGTCCAATATTTGTTGTGTGGGCAAGAGAGAGAAAATACATGATGTAAAGCAAAAATAAGGAAGTCACAAAAGTGCGATCACACATAGCTGTTGTTATTATGGATGGAAATGGTTTGTGAACTCCTAAAAAAAAAAAAAAAGTTAACAAATAACATTTTGAACATTTTTGTTTTGTGGTTTGTTCCGGGTGCATTGACTCAGCAGTTTCATGCATGAAGAAGCAGCACTGACACTGCAGGACCCACTGGCTAAAACCATGCTTGAATCTATTAATAAAGACGATAAATCAAATGCTGCCCTAAAACAGAATGCGCAAAGTCATGGCTTTTTCCTGCAAGGTGTTTCTGTCAGAGGGCCACCCAGGGGAATAGAACTGAAATAAAAATCCAGGAGCTACTTTAAATTGAATGTAAAAATGTTTCTACAAATACTCATGGGATTTGTGCAGATGCAGGAAGTCATAAGACTGATCTCACCTGAGTCTGCGGGCGTTCAAGAGGAACTCGCTCCTTTATCCTGGAAGATCTGTGTTTCTCACTTTGGTTAGCTGAGGTCTTTGATGGAATAAACAGATGGGGCTTTCGTTGTATGCTTGGAAGTGATCATTAATGGTGAATATGTCTGCAGTTCTTGCATCCTACCTGTGCATGAAGAGATGATGTTGACTGTCTTCGAGATAATCTTCCGTTCTCAGAGTCCCGACATTTCTCTCGTCTGTCTCTTCCTCTTTCTCTGTGTCTCCCCCTGTCGTCTGGCTCAAGTCTTGAACTGTAGATGTCAGTTTCATCTTGATACCTTCAGAACCACATAAAAGAGATACTGAATGGTTAAATCTTTGACAAACACAGAAACAGCCTGTAGGCACATGTTTCTTATTTTACTGAACAGTCACCTCTTTTAACACTTCAAGAGCACTTTGTGAGGCAACTTCTCTCCTTGCTGCCAAAGAAGTAATGTAAAGAAACAGGAATGCAGAGTTCATACACCATGTCCTGATCCTGTGCAGCATACCAGACCACCAACCTGTTTGTCCTGAGTCTCTGATCCCTGCATGGACTGGGACTCTGGTTCCTTCGCCTCAGTCCTGGAAACTCTTCTTCTGACTCCAGCTGGATTGTCGGGATGTCAGCCAGCATTATGTAGTCCTCCATGGTCATCATCACCTCAAATTCACAAAGATTTATCAACAGTTAACATGATATGTGATATGGAGAGTCGCCTCTGACACAAAACATAGCAAGAGTACAATCTGCAGTCTGACTAGCAGCTTTGTGTGGCTGTAGTCAAGCACAGTGATGTTCTAAGGGACAAGGCTAACCTTAGCATGCTAGCATGTTTACATTGAGAAGGTCATAAGCTGATTTTAAGCGGTTTACTAGAGTAACATTGGCTACAATTTTTAAGGTACTTGTACTTTACTTGAGTATCTTCATTGTATGTCACTTTTAAGATTAAGACATTATATAATACAACCAGCTTTTCAAAATATAGCACATTGTTAAAGATTAAACCAGTAGTTTCTAACCTTTAAGACTTTTTTTTGTTGTTGTGGACATCTTTCAAAAAGCAATGTGTAGCCATGTTCACATTTCTGCTGCTTGATGCTTCAGTATTAATAAACTAATGATGTCATATATAATGACTTTCACTTAAACGCTTTAACTACATTTTGCTGCGAATACTTATGTTCTTTTTCATAAGTAGAAATTTTCATTAAGGACGTTTACTTGTAATAGAGTATTTTACATTGCTGCATTGGTAGTTTTACTAAATACCTCTTCCACCACTGATTTTAAACACAAACTAGTATTTGCTAATTAGCACCACTGACACAGCTAAAGTTGTTGAGAACACTGTTAGTTGTTTAAACAAAAGTGTTTGGAGTACATTTCTAACTTCCGCTGCAACCTTAGCTGTAAGAATAGAATATATTAGAATAGAATATCTTGCTGCGATGGACTGGCGACCTGTCCAGGGTGTCCCCTGCCTTCGCCCTAAGTCGGCTGGGATAGGCTCCAGCCCCCCACGACCCTAATGAGGATTAAGCGGTGTATAGAAAATGGATGGATGGATAGAATATCTTGTATCAACATCAGAGTGACAGTAAGAAAGCAAGAAAATACAAAATGTAAACTAAATAAAATATATATAAATTAAAAAGGCGAGGTATATACACTATATATACAAAGGGCAAAAAAATGTAAATCTTTGTGATTTTAGCAATTACTTTGTGGGCGCAGTAAAAAATACAGCTTTATGAAACAGACTGCAAGCATGCAGCGTGGGTACATCATTTGAACTTGGTTTTGTCCATATTCATAACTCACCAATTCCTTCTTTACTCTCTACAGAATTATCTCCTATACCTATTTCTACACTTACTTTTGTTTAGCTGTGATGTTTAGCCCCGACATGCTTAAGGCTTATGGGAAAAGTGTTACAGGCTGGAAAAAACTTTAATACTGATGTAATAGTTTTTCAAACTATATATGGTGGCGCTGGTCATGGCGACACGCAGCAGTGTGTGAGACGGGTGCTGACGTGGCTGTTTGAACAAATTCAAGTTTAACAGATTAAGCAATTAATAAATTGAATTGCTTGATAAATTTAATTTTGTTGTACCTTGTGTATGATGACAATAAAAAGCATTCTATTCTCTTCTCTTCTCTTCTCTTCTCTTCTCTTCTCTTCTCTTCTCTTCTCTTCTCTTCTCTTCTCTTCTATTCTATTCTATTCTATTCTATTCTATTCTGGTCTATTCTGAAAAAGACGTAGCACTCTGTTGGGATGTCAAGATTGTATTTTTAATTTTAGGGATTTTGGGAACCCTGAAGTTACAGTTTCACTTCATGTTTATAATTCAATTGCTCTTAAAGAGGCTTGTGAATGTGAGTCAGTTTTAATGATTACCTATCTAATAGTTGCCAATTATACTAAGAGACGAAAAGTCAGGGGATCACCATACTGATTAGGGTTAATCCTCTGGTGAACATGAATGACTGCACACAGTTCCATCTCAGTGCATTCAATAGATAATAATTGAGACAGTTTAGCCTAAGGGCAAGGTGACCCAGGTAACAGCTAGACTAACAATTTCCTTCTACCATGGCTAAATAGAACCTGATACACGTACCTCCTCAACCTCTACTGCAGCCTTTTTGGATTCAGGGATCAGCAGGGCCTCCATGCCTCGCCTTATGTTGCTCCTGCTTCTGTCACTGCTGACCATATTGTTCTCCTCACTGCCCTTATCAGTTTCTGTGATTGCAGCATGTGACAGAGATCCGCCAAGGAGCTGAGAGTTTGCAACCCGCCTCAATGAAGGGGAACCAGGTGAAGCTGGGAGGCTGAGCAAAGAGTGAGCGGACCCCTGCCAGGAGCCTTGGCAAGGACTCAGTCTACTGTCTCTGGAGTAGGGCTCCTTCTGTGGGGTGTGGCTGGGGGTGCTGTAGCCGTTCCTGGATGGGGATACTTCACGGCTGCTGCGAGTTTGAGTGTTGGCCAAGCTGTTGACAGATGTTCTGGTTCGCAGTGATGCTTGAGATCCTTCATGTGAGTTTTGCTGAACAGCTGAGGAACCACGGCGGGAGATAGACTCCAGATTTCTATACAACTTCTCAGAGTCCAAACTGTGCTTGTTTGAAGCTTGTGATGGACTCCTTGACTCTCGGCTGCATCCCTTTTGAGCATCATAATCACCATTCTGTAAAAGTAAAGAGTCTGTGCGTCTATGTGAAGGGGTGGCCCTAGAGGGGGAGCCGGTGCGAGAAGTGACGGACCCCCACCTGCGAGACGGACTGGACCTGCCTGATGTATGGCGAGAAGGGCCATGTGATAGAAGCTGAGAGGAACCATGAGATGAGGCATGAGACTGAGCCTGACTCCTAGAGAGGGAGCTTCCTCTCCGAGGTCCTGCAGGTGTGTCAGTCATCTTGTAGCGGTTAGGACTCACAGAGCTGTGACGGGTTGGAGAATTTCTCTCTGAGTTAGCTCCTCGTCTAAAGTTAGAGTGATATGTGTACCTCTGAGGGGATTCACTTCTCCAAGTTTCCTGCATGTACGTCTCTGGGTTTCTTCTCTGGGAGGGCAATCCGAGGCTGACGTTCCTGTAGGGGACGCAGGCTTTGGGCTCAAGAACATAGTTGCTTGGGAGGGGATGTCCTCTCTCGTAGTAACGATGTGGACGTTTGTTGACCTCCTCCGCCTGCCGCTCACCGTCACCTCTTCTGTCTGGAGAGAAGTAGCCGCTCTCCTGACCCCTGTCTCCTCTGGACTCTGAATATCATACAACCATTGCCCTGATACTTCAACTGGCTAAAAGTATGAGCGAAAGAATCATTGAGGATCATTCTAGCACTGGTTATGTGTAAAAGATCATGATACAGCTTAGTTATAACTAAGGTCAAAATTAAGATGTTAGGCTGTGCACTTAAGGAAATAGTACAGTATAACAGGATAGTATACCATCTTCTTAATGATACTTAAGGACTACAGGGGTGTACCCACAACATTGAGAGTACACCCCTAAAATGCAAGTTTTGTTTGGCTCTGATGGAGTCCAGAGTGTTTGGTATGAACCTTGTCAGTGAATGCATAGTCCTGACAGTGAAGCACAGACGGAGTGTGATGATGCTGGGCTGCATGAATGCAAAAGATGCTGGGGAGATGACATTTATAGACTGCATCATGAATGCCTGTGGATACACCAAAATACTGGCTGACAAGATGACTCCCAGTTGCCGGAGTTCAACTGACAGTTAACAAGAGTTCAGACAATTTTGAATGCTGTAACTTTTAAGTGACATTGCAAAGGGGTGTGCTCATTTCTGTTGTATCTATGTGTAACTGACCTGACGGCCGGCGAGACCTGTCTCTTCCCCTTCTTTCATCCATCCAGGAGCTTTCAGTGCCTTGGGGAGGAGAGGGGTCCAGTCGTGTCATTTCTCTTTGGGCCACACAGTCTGAGCTGAGGGATCTGCCCCTTTCTGAACAGTCCGACTGATTTGGAGAGCTGGAGGAGGTTAGTACACAATCAACTTTTAACACATGGACAACTGAATAAACAAGTGTACCTCAACAAGTGTGCGTCCATGGTAAATGTATTAAAGAAAGTCTGCACAGTCTGATTATCAGCATATTTTAACCTCTTTCCTCAATATGCTATAATTATTGTGTGGAGCTTCAATGTTGGGTTTCACACATTATTTTAATAATATATTATTTCCATCACAGTTTTATTTTTTCATTTGGTCCTGAGAACAACACAGGTTAAATGAATCTAAGTCTAGCTTCCATACTGATGACGGATAAATGCATTACTGCAATTCATAATATAATACAATAAAAAAAAGTAAAACTGTAAAAAAAAAAAAAAACTTTAAATTTGTGCAAAACAGACAACAAAACTAAAACCACAGGAGGAGAACCTGCTATCACTCACACTCTATTTGACTGATGCTAGTACAGAAGCAACATTAAATAATGACTCAATCTGAGAAACCTTTCTGATGATCTTGATGGTTAATTGAATGCCATAGAGTGAGCACTTCATCAAGAGAAAGCTGGACAAACATCAGCTCTTTACCGTCATTTAATATGAAGCCTCACAAAGCATTTTATATAGGAACATTCCTGGACATTGAATACTATATTTGGTCCTATCAAGATCTAAGTTTTGCTTTCTAAAGCAGCATTCACTGATTTTTTTTTTGGCCACTTGGGAAGCAGAATAAGCTTTAAACATAACATTGACATATCAAAGTGCACTTTTATCAACAAATTTCATATAAACATGTCCAGAAATCACATTTCAATTATGCTGGACTTTAAAATAACTTTGTGGAATCTTGATATGAATCTTGAATCCAATGTTAAGGTAAGTCATGAAGGCCTTTGCATAATCAGCTCCCCAGCTAAGCAACTGCTATTTTTAGTAAAGGTTTATGTATAATCAACCTACTGTATGTCCTTGAACAGCTCATTCAGATATCGAACAGTTCTTGGTTAAAAAAATGGCTTCTAAAATCAGGCTACATGATACAGTCACCTGGATTGTATGTCAGTGTCACCGATATTAAGTTCCCACTCAGGACTCAGGCGGTGTACCAGACTCCACTCGTAGGTCCAACTGCCACTGACGTCATCACTACTGGCACTTGTGGTCACCTCAGACGGGGTGCGATAATCGTCATCTGCATCCTGGTTTTGTGCAGCACAGAAATACATTTTTAAGCTTTTGGATTATTCAGAGAGAAGTTTTTCAAATCAAACATGACTGGATTTAGATATGAAACATTACTGTTTCATATTTGGCGATTCAAACAACCTAGTCTTATTTGCTTGATTCTGTAAATTACTCATTTACCATTCTTGTTATCAAAAGAGCACGTTTCACATTTTTATCATGTTTTATAAAGATGCACCAATAGAATCACTTTCACCACATCATGACCCTGACAGAAAAGATTAACACAACAGCCATGTGGTGGCTGGAGTCTGTTACCCAACAAGCTGAACAAACAACTCAAACTTACCCATCAGGCATGAATATAAAAGAAGTAACATCCAAGACATGTTTAACTTACTTAGACTCTTCACTGTCCTTTTGTCAAACCTTGTGTCAAGTCTTGTGGCTTTTCTCCTTCTAAACCTTCCTTCTCCTCCCTTGCTAAGCCAATACATTTAGACTGCACAGAACGTAACTCAAGCTAGTCTCGGGTCATGCTCATCATTATTTCATTGCTCTAGTGCTTTTGCATTACTAGAACCGCCCACTCGGTGTCTTTCTCATCGTTATCTTGATCCCTCTCACAGTTCTACTTCTCATTACCACTCAGATAGCAAAGGTTTTGCTCGTTTTAACTCCTGATCTCTCGGCTGGATGCAGGTTAACAAAAGGTCATATAGCGACTTTTGCTTTCAGATCAAAGTAAGGTCTGCATGAGTGTCATAACTTTCACTAAAAATTAGTTTTTGAGGGATATTTCACTGTAAAATTTGATGTAAGTGGGACAGTGTTGCTCGGGGGTAGGTGCCTGCATTTGACATGAGCGTTTCAGATTACAAACCCATTCCACAAGGATTCTAATGAGCTTTCATTAATTAATCATACAGAATCAAATGCCACCTTGTTGTACTCTCCTTCTCCCACCTCCTCAGTAGTTTCACTTGGTGACTGTGTCAGAGGCTGACATCATCAGCTCGGTGTCCAACTGGTGGAGCAGTTTTATCACATCCTTTGTACTCAGTGGTAGCGCGTCATTAAAAAACACCTGACCCTTTTCGTCATAGTGTCAGCGGCAATTAACCTCAGTGTGTATTGTGCAATCTTGATGCACCTGGATTCATAAAAGTTATGCAAGTGTATCCACATACACCGGTCACGTAAACCTGACTGTGGCTGAATAATGAGCTGCAGAAAAACATGAAGTTTGTCAAGAAATAAGAAAATCTCATTTAAATTCTAATTTCATCATTTAGGATGCTAATAACTAAAAATACAGCTGTGGAGCAGCTCCACGTTCTTTGATACCTGTGTTTAGAATATTATATAGTTTGTTTGTTTTTTAAAAATGATTCAATATCATTGTTTATCATTTTATGTTTTCTGTCATTAGCTATAGATTTTAGAAAAGAGGAGTCAAAACTGTGGTTTGGTGGATGCACATGATTAGTTCAGACATGTCCTGTATGTATTTACAGCAGTTGTTAGGATTCTAAAATGAGTATTAGAAAGGTTCAAAAATGACTTTAGAAGAGGGTTTTGGTAAGACATAGATTTTTTTATTTTATTTTTTTTAACTGCTCACAAAGTAGCAATAGTTTGACTGTTAAAATCACAACAGTTTCACCTCCTTATAGCAAGTTTTGTAGGACAGGTCAAATTGTTGTAGAAGGTGAGAAACAATTCCCAGAAAAAAAATTCAGAAAAACTGATGAAAGAATTGTTAAATAAGAAATTTAGCTACCCGTAGCCTCACTCTTTTAGAATGATCTCATGTACTCACCCATTGTATGTATTTTTAATAAGTTTTTTTACAAGGTTTGTATTTCAAATAAATCAGTATAAGATATTAAAATGTTAGGTAGTTTCAGGGTAAGCAGAGGTCACACAGTTGCTTTGTGTTTTAGGTTGTTTAATGAAGAATGTGAATATTTAATACAATGTGATCGATACTGTGACTGGCATTTAGAATTTCAGTGTTAAATATGTTGACAGTTAAAAAGTACAGATGATTTTTTTTTTTCAACAACATTTGTATGATACCAGCTTCTAATATGTCTTTAGTTCTTGCACAGTCAGACGATTATGCAGCACAGAAGGGTCTGGTTGCACCTCATTATCATTCTGCTACAGAAGAAAAAAATCTGTTTGTCTCTTCAAAGCAATCATTACCATATTGGCAGAGCAAAATGGAAGATGCAGCAAAGCTGTCCCTTCAAAAATTGTGATGGGGGAAGTATTCTGGCTGCAGCATTTGCACACAGGTAGGCAAGAACTGTCATTAAAATGGCAAATTCACCAAGATGTAAATTGCAGGTCAAATCCTTGGCAAAACCTTTTCAGTGTGACAAGTTTACAGTCCAGAAGTTGTTTTTTATTCGTGAAGTGAAGGAGATTTTAAAAACAGCAATATATAGATAGTGGTCAGATTTTCACACACGCCAGTGTTACAGGTACAATAACCACAATGCACTTGTGACCTCAATTTGTACAATAAACAGCAGGAATTTGCTCAATATTTCTTTTTTTTCATGCACTTGTTACTTTTTAAGAAAATTGTATGAATCACTGAAGCCCCTTCCTCACTTTTACCCTCTGCTGCATCTTTGTTGGTGAGAACTCTCATCATAACAGTAACTACAGATTGTGGGGTTTATTGAATGATCATTGTGTGATCACCTGATAACTGCTTATCCAACTCTAATCCACGAACATTTCACTTCATGTGTATAATCCTTGCGTGATAAATACAGTCCTAGGTGGACTACACATGGATTTATTTACGTACCCACTCCTGTTGATCTTCCTGTTGCGTAGTAGCTGCAGTGGGGCAGCTCAGGTGCATGTGATCTGGTCGCAGACAGGAGCTGCAGCGTGAGGGGTCAAAGGAGTTGGGCTTGAACTGGCGGCAGTAATAATCTTCAGCAGGGGGCGCCATGTGGATCCTGCTGAGTCTTCTCTGTCATCAGTGGATGGGTATCCTCAGGCACCGTAGCACTAAAAAAGCCTTTGATTAACTGGCTTCAATAGAACTGGTGTGGTTTTATTTCCCATGAGGTTCTTGGTGGGCTCTTGGCTCAGTTTATTAGCATAATATGAATAACAACCATCATCAAAACAGCTGAATTGTTTACAATTAGACAGGCTGTAAGAGATTAAAGGTTTATGTTTCTTTATATGAGTTGCATATAAGCAAAAGAACAGCGCTTTTAAAAAAAACAACTTTTCGCTGCTACTATAAATAGATCTCAGTGAGTCATGTCTCCATGTCACTCACAATGTAATATCTCTTTACAAGTGTTAGTGAGCACAGTTACTCAGATGTCCTGATGAACTGAGCTGAAGCACACACCACTACTGCTGGGTACCTTTACACCAGTGTATAGAGTTTACATAGAGGGACTCCTCCTGCATAATCTATATCACATAAAAATGTCTGATGCAAAATAACAGAAGGTTCTACCTTAGTAACAGGATCCAAAACCTTCATTTTCAAAGACAAAATTAAACTGGGCTGTATCCAAGAGAAGATCCTTCACTTAAAGCTCTGTTTCCTGACACCAGGGTGGAAGTGGTCTGGTGTGACCATGCAGGCATTAGAGGCTGGGGTCTTTTATCAAACAAACTTTCATTGGTTCCCTCATGGGCCCACTGTGGGGTGCGTGTCCTATCAGATATCATCACCTTTAGAAAGTGAAACATTGCACTAACTCCTCTCAACAGATGTCTTATGGTGGTGAGCTGCTGCACAGATGGTTAATCTGAGGAGAGATAAAAGAAAAGAGCATATGGACAAGGAGTCAGAATCGGAATTAAAACATGACACAAAATCCTCATTATTTTGCTGAAACAGAATAGCACAAGAAACAGCTGATATCTCAAGGAAAGACCTGGATGTTATGTGATAAATGCTTACTTGCTTTCTTGCATCAGAGAGTTAAATGAGCAGATTAATAGCTGTCCAGTTTGCATTGAATTTGTGAGCTTAGTTTAGCTGGAAGCAGAGGGAAGCTAGCTCTGGTATAAAATATAACTACCGGCACCCATGAAGCTCAGTAACTAACACATGATGAGTTTTAACTGATTTGGGGAAAACTGCATTTTCCTACTATGCCCCATGGGCTTGGAATAGTCTGCAGAAAGATCTTAGATTAGAAACACTCATATCAATTTATAAATTTAAGGACATTGTAAAGAATTTGGTGACGGAGACATGTGACTGTTTTTCTTGAGACGTCCACTATGTTTTAGTAGTTGTTCTTGTTGTTTTATTTGTATTTGTTGCATCTTTATATGTTGTGATTGGCTGCTACCTTGGCCAGGTCTCTCTTGTAAAAGAGGTTTTGAATCTCAGTGGGACTTTCTGGTGAAATAAAGGTTAAATTAAAATAAACAAATAAATAGATTTAAAAAAAAAAAAAAAAACTGGTCTGTTTAAACACAAATGGATAAACACATAAGGAAAAGATCATATCTACCAACATTTTTCAAGTACAATTCCAATATTAACCTAATCTTTGTAACATTTATTTTTTCTCATAAGAACTGCTCAGACTCTGGAAACGTTTAGGTCACTGCTTAAGACCTACCTTTTTACGTTGGCATTTGATTCAAGTAGAGAACTTTTATTATACTTTTATTGAGATTTCTCAGTTTTTTTGTTGTGTTTTATTGCATTTCATGTACTGCTATTTTAACTGTACAGCACTTTGGTTAAACTTTTGTTGTTCCAAATGTGCTTTTTGAATAAATTTGACTTTGACTTTGTTACAATTATAATGATGAGCTAACAACAATAAAACAAAAGGGGCAACAGTAAAAATACCAAAATAGCTCGGAGTAAAAGGATATGTAAACAACAGATGTGTTGATTTAACACCGAGCTCTCGAGCCACCTAAAGTCACCTTTTCTCCAGCAAAGTCCAACAAGTGCAGCGTATCCCTGAAAGCTGCCGGCATCGGTTCATTCCCATCGGGGATGAGCGAGTGCTGGGACTGTTTTTCAGCTGGGATTTCAGTGTTTGAATGAGCCACAAGAGGGGGGCCTTTAGTCTCAGCAGAGCCAGTGCTGTGTGAGCAGCACGTTTCAGGGACGTACACAAACTGAAGACAAACATGCACCTTCAAGAACTCACCATCCTTTTTCACCTGCAGTGCACCCACACACATAGACACACTTACACATAACAGAAACAAACCATCTGCTTGCAGATCCCACTCTGCTCATCAAACATCCACAGAGATGCTGTGTATTTTTATACCACACCTTAATCTGTGTCTTGTTAAAAAATGATTGGTGAGAATCGAGCGCTCAGGCCCACTTTATTTTACGTGTGTGTGTCTACTTTTAGAACACAGTTTGTGATGATTAATTACAGTTTTGCAGCACCATCAAATGAACCCCTGAGTCGCGGGAGAATAATTAAACATTTTTGGCAAGTAAAATGGCAATTAAAGAGAGATATTTTTGTCAGTGTGTCACGTGCAGCTATATTCCACTGCTCTGGCAGCAGTTGCTGTAATGAGTGAGTGGAACCTGTATCCATGGAAATGCAAGTAGGAAAAATTCAACTTGCACAAGTTAAAGCTAGGTAGGTAAACATTTTAGTGATTGCATCAAAGCTTCCTCATGATCTCTGTGACATTTTGTTAAAGGCTTTTTCATTACCGTATTGCCAGCTCTGGTTTTGCTGCATTTCTTGATTAATTATTCACCACTGTTTCTACATGTCAATCCCATATACAAACTAATGTCTGAAATGACTCAATCATTCACTCTTTCACCAATCCTGACGTAAAACACAAACTGAGTGGCAGTTTGAATTCTGAGATTGTTAGCAGAAAGTCAAATGCAGGCATACGCATTTTCCCCACTGTTTTTCCAATTTTTGTTTAGTCAAATTAACTCAGTTTATCACACTCCTGTGGCCCATGTTCTTTATTATCACAAATCAGTCAATTATTTTCAGTTTAAGCTGCTTCAGTCAATATTTTCATTACAGTATATCAGTAACCAGGTGTAAAACAGGTGAACCCACAGGAAATTGTCTGGTCTTGTGGAAATTGATAGTTTTAAAATCAGATACAGGCTGCTGCGTCACTTCAACTTAATGTTTCTAAAATGTAAAAGTTTCTCTTAAAGAGTTTACTTTAGGTAGAAAAGATTCTTTTTCTTCATGAGATATTTGTTATTTTTTTCCACCTTTCAGAGATTAATGGACATGTGAATACACATGCCATGTGCTCAGCTTTTAGCTTTGTGGGTTTCACGTCAGAGTTACAAATGTCATCACGTGTGGTCAATACTTTTCCTTTGCATCACTCTCTCTACCAGAGCAGAATCAACATGAAAGTACTGCGAAATGAAAGGTAGAGAAACAGGGCTGTACAACCAGTCTCTCACAATACAACCAATTATAAATGAGTAAATAAATCCTTATCAGCAATCACCTGGAAGCAAGGAGGGCAAAAGTTGATCAAAAACTCCTAACCCTGATCCCACTTCTCACCCAAGGCCAGTATTGATCATGACCACTACCCCTGCTCACAACAACCTTCTGAACTCAACAACTTTAACCCTCCTTTTCACTGTCAGATCAACAAGCCAACGCATTTTAAAAATCTATATTTTATGTTTTATTTAAAGCACTGTAGCTGTTTATCATGAGAGACATGGCTGATAGCAACTTATGTGCTGAACTTGGACATGAGATAAATATCTGTTCTGACCTGTGAATACATTTAGTTCAATTATTACCTGTTCTCATTCTTCATCTTTGTTTTTATCCCTCATCATAACCGTCATATACTCGAGAGTCTATAAAATCATGATCATCAATTACGATGCCACAAGTCTCCTGCATGAAACAGCTGCAAGGTTTTATTTCTCCTATTTCACCTCCACATTTAGCATTCATAAGCAGTAAATACACTTAATAAATTGTTCACAGTGCATTATAATGTGATTGTAAACACATATAAGGACATTTTTAGGTGTTTAAGTGTGCATTTTCCAACTGATAAAACTAATAGCACAGCTGTAATTGTATTTTATCGGAATAACATACAATAACAAATCCTTACAATGCATTACAAAACAATTACCTGTTTATGTACTTGTAAGTATTCAAAGGCAACAGCTCAAACCTAATGGTCTTTAAAGTGGCTGTGATCAATATTTTTATAATAACAATGTGTCAAATGACAATATGAAAACAATGTGACAACGTGAAATGGGCCCTATTGATGAAGCTACAGAGAATCTGCCTTCTGCTTAATGGAGCTCTGTAGTGACTATCGGCTCATCGGTTTGCTGTTCGGCCCCCAACTTTCTTGTTGTGTTTCATTGTCACTGCTGTCACTGTCATTTTTAGAAGACAGACACAGTTAGCTAGTGAACATAATGGAGCATTTGGCAGCTAAAACAGGGTGAATATTAATCTTTTATTAATCAGGTGGACAGAAACACGACTTCAAACCAGAGCTAATGTTGCTCTGCTGGATGTTTATGTAAACAAGTTTGCTATATCAACATTTAGGTAATGACATGTGCATATGTGTAAGTATATGTAAGGGATGTGTTCACAACTTGTTTCCAAAACAAGTCCATTTTTGTACGCTTAGGGTTTACTCTTGACACGTACAATTTGTATTTAGCATTGACTGCGTATAAAGTTTGCCAAAACCTTTGTGATGTCACTTCTAGATTATCTAAAGAACAGTTTTGAAACTCGGTGTGGTGGTAGGAGCCTTTTTGAATCTGTCTGACTTCTGTCTAATTCAAACATCGTTGAAGTGATGGAACCTCAGTGGAATAGAGGCAGGCCATGCAAATATCTCTGGGCCATGTACTTCCCTATGACAGTACTCAGTTGTCACCCCAAGAGGCCACATTCTTGATTAGCGATGCATAACTTTAAGCCTCAGTACAATTTATAT